CAGAGGCCTTGACTAAAAACCAACCTACTGCTTAACCACACAGTGATACTGCTGCAGGCACTGCAGTAACACAGGTTAAGAAGTACTTCTTTATTCACTCCCCATAGTTAAGACTTCTTTAAGACAACCAAACTCAAACCCCCTTCTTCCCTGAATATATCTGTGCGCTGCATACTTGTGCACGTTTTAGTGTCTCAACAAAGAAATGTTCATGTGTTTATGTCCTTAGGCCGTTTGAAGCAGAGAACTTTTCCAGTAGAAAGGAGAGAAACTTCATAACAAAATCTATAAAGTTTTTTTTTGGTACTACTTTAGGAGAGAGCCAGTGGCCCACTGAGCTTTTTAAAACATGGTTTGAAGTCAGCATTAGTTGCATTAAGTGTCTGGGAGTTGCATGAGGGGAAAATTCCGTAGTTCTTTCCAGATCCATGAACTGGGCTTTTTGCTGGTGGTTTTTCTCCCTTCTCCCCCTGTTTTTTCTTGCTTAAGGCTGTGTGTACATTCCAGTGTCATTTAGGCTGGTCAGGAGTATCTCTGTTGTTGATACTTTGTACTGGCTGGTGTGATGCCTCCACATACTTGAAATAGTTGGTTCACCACGTCGTGCAGCCCTCTGTAAAGTGGTTTAGTGATGGTTTTAGTGCCTTCTAGTTGCTGTGTCCTTGCTGGTCTGTTTTGGGGTGTTTGTAAGAAAAAATGAGGAAGCATCACATAGACAACCCTAAAGGAAGCACTTTGTCCATTTTTCAGTCAGGCTGGGTTTTGTTGCATTCCAAATGCAGCGTGATGCTGTGGTACCTCCTTCTCTCCACGAGCTGTGTCTGAGTTCCAAGTCCTCTCAGAGCCGTGTGGGCTCTTTTCTGCACAGCTGCTCTCTGAAGAGCACTTTGAATGTACCAAGCAAAGCTGGTGTTTTGGATTTGTTTATTCTGAAGGACTTGTTCCTAAAGTCATGGGTTTCTTGAGCAGCAGCTTCATGAAAATATTTAGGTTAGATGCAAATTATAGCAGCCTTAAACCTTATTTCGAGTGTTTTCTGCAAAGTTATCTTATTCCTCCCATCCCCACTGAAACAGAGAATAACTCCCCCATAAGGACCGTCATGCCTGAAACCACAGAGCTGTTTGCACAGAGAGAGGGCCTCTGGTAGCATCAAGGGGGGGGACATCTCTCCAGCTCCAACAGAGAGCAGTTGGTACAGCGGATGTGATGGTTTCTGGGTTGGCAAAAGGAGAAATGATCTTCCAGCAGTTGCAAGACCGGTGTCTGCAGGGGAAGGAAGAAACTTCCACTGTGGTCTGCCAAGAGGGCTTTCTCCATAAGACAGCCACTTCTACTTAGCAGTGGGAATGCTTACAAGAAAGGCTTAGCTGCTAATAGCTGGGAAGGAAGCTGGGTTATGAATTTAAGGCACATTAGTGCCTCTGGACGTGGTATTGTTTGTGCTGCAAATAAAACAGCTCCTTCTGCTTAGCATTTAGTGCAGCATTTGGTGGCCACAGAGTAGCAGAACTACCATGTCATCTAAGTTCCTCAGTAGCTACCAGCCAGTGTTGGAGATTGGGTGTTCTCTCTGAACCCCTCTGAATCCAGATCCAGCTTCTCATCCTTTCCTTGTCCTTTTGTGCTGGCACCAGTAGGAAGCTGAATTGGAGCAGATCTGACTAAAGGAGTTATTTATGCTGCTCTTTATTATAGGTGTGAGGAGAGGGAGGATCAGGCATGAGGGGATGGAATGGTCCCTCTTGGCAGTGTAGATCGATGCTAGACTAGATCTTGGATCTGCAGTTGATGGTTACGAGTTCTCTCAACCCACATTTAATGGGTTGCTTTTCTTCACAGGAAAAGCTTGCATAAAACTATTTGGTGCTTATGGTAGCTCCAGGGCTTACAAATACCTTATTTTAATGCCTTGTGAAAATTCCATTGAAAATCATTGAGTTAATGGAATTTTCTGAGGTTTCTCAGATGTTAATCTAGGTGTAATACAGGACCCCCAGGTACTGTGTGAGAGTTTGGGATGTCCACAACAAGGGCTTTATATGGGAAACAGCATCTGTCACTAGGATATGCATTTGTTTCTTACTGTCTCATGACTTCTGGAATGCTTGAATTTCTCCAAGCTCATAAATTTCCCTAAAACAGTGCAATAAATGGACTTTTTACATATGGACTTGTCTTCAGTGTTTGTTTAATCTTCATAAAATAATAAACCGTGTGTTTTTAAACATTTGTAACTCCATTGACATTGCCATCTTCATCTTTTAAATTGCTTTTCAGCCTTGATTTTCGGTGAGCTGCCTGTGCCTCTCCTCTCTCTTACAGAAGAGTTGTACTGATTGAGGTCCTCTTTAGTTGTGGCAAACTGAGCTTTGACCTGGAGAAGCAAACAAATCTACTGTTAAAAATACAATCTTTGGGATCTGTCCCAGTTATAAAATTCCTCTTTCCAACAGGGCATTATCTGACCATGTAGCAGTGCCAATTCCTGCAAATGTTGCTCAACATATGAAGAGCTTATCTGTTGTTTAAACAAATGTAATAGCATCATAAATAAAACTTCTTCTGTAGGGTGAGTTGTCTTCTTGCGTGCTGGGATTAAGTTCCACAAAGGAGAAAAGCCACATAGTGGTTCTGTCTCCCTTCATGTCCCTTAAGTTATTTAATATGATCCAGATCTCCTTCAAGTACAGCAGTTTTTCCTCTCTCCAGATATTAAAAGGTATTAGGAAATTAATAAGCATCCTTTTGCCTTGCCTGTGGCATGGTATAGGAGGCTGCAGGTATGGTTGTTCTCAAAACAAGTGTGTTTTGGTTTCTAGTGGTGACTTTCTAGTTTGAGACTGGCAACTCCTCTTAGAAATCTGTGTCTTATCCTCGAATCATATGGTTTGGAAAAGATCTTTAAGATCAACAGGTCCAGCCATTGCCCAGCACTGCCAAGGCCACGACTAACCCATGGCACTGAGGGTCCTGTCTATGCAGTGTGGAGCACAGTTCCCTTTGGCTCGGTTGGTTCATGTTGTCCCTGTTACAACTAAAGACAGCAGCTAGGTTTTCTTTTGGAGTTGAGCCTCTTTGTGCTGCAAACTAGATGTAGCTGGGTGTTTAATTATACAGAAATGATGTTTAATGGTGATGTTTCCCTTTTTGATGACGTTAGAGCAAGAGAGTAGTGTTCAAACGTGTTGAATAAACATGACTAAACCAGCTGCATGGCTGTGATAATAACCACCATGCTATGATGGCAACCAGCTAAAGGGAGAGGGAACCTGAGTTTTGTTTCTGTGCTGTATAAATATCCTGACATATCTCAGCCAGCTCTCAATGTGTGTGTATTATTTTGGGCCACCTTGCTCCGGCTCCTTGCTCTCCCCTTTGTCACAGCACAGGACTGCTTGGATACTGTTGCTACTGTGGTGATCCTGGTCTGCCCAGTGTGGAAAGAGCGAGCTAATAACTCTGTCTGTTAATGCTCAAACTCTGACTTCACCTGTTTCCCTTCTGAGCTTTTATATGAGCACTTTTTCCTCCAGTTCTTTACAGTAATCCAGATGCTCGTGTTCTTTTCCTCCTACACAGCAGATGGAGATGGCATAAGGCCTTTGATGACAGCTTCCTTCTTGCTACATAAGTTTTATGAGCTGGCAAGTTTGTTAGTTGGAGGGGGTAGAGCTCCTAAGCCTTGTCCAGCAGGTGATGCTTCACTACCCCTCCCATAATTATAGATATAAATTAGTTTATATCTATAAATATATTAGTTTAATCTTTGAGGTAGGCTTTGCCACATGGTTATAGGAGAGGGAAAGGCAGAGCCCTCATGTGACTGTTGTGATGAATCGTAGAATGGTTTGGGTTGGAAAGGACCTTAAGATCATCCAGTTCCAACCCTGCTGCCATGGGCAGGGACACCTCCCACTAAACCACCAAAGACTCCATCTTGGCCTTGAATACTGCCAGGGATGGAGCATTTATCACTTCTGTGGGCACCCTGTGCCAGTGCCTCACCACCCTCACAGTAAAGGGCTTTTTCCTTATATCTAACCTGAGCTTCCCCTGTTTCAGTTTGAACCCCTCACCCCTTGTCCTGTCACTACAGTCCCTGATGAAGAGTCCCTCTCCAGCATCTCTGTAGCCCCCTTCAGACACTGGAAGCTGCTCTGAGGTCTCCACGCAGCTTCTCTTCTCCAGGCTGAACAGCCCCAACTTTCTCAGCCTGTCTTCATATGGGAAGTGCTTCAACCCCTGATCATCCTCGTGGCCTCCTCTGGACTTGCTCCAACATCTTCACATCCTTCTAAAATGAATGCGTTTCATTTTAGCCAAGAAACCTATTCTGAATTCACGTTTGTTACCTGAACTTGTAAGAAAGCAACTTGGAGGTGTTTTTGCTGGGTTGAAGAGTTGGACTTCTCTTGTTTTGTTGTTCTAGGCTTGTAGCTCACATGAAAAATACTTGTTAAAAGTTGGCATGAGTTGGATGGTCATCTTCCACGCTCTTAAGTATGTTTGCAGGCCTCTCTTCGTTCCAGTCTCGCCTGTCTAGTAAAGAACGGTGTTTGGCTTTCAAAACCGTTTTACTGTTCATCATTAACCTTAGTGAAAAGTTCTTCTCCCACTGAGGTGAATGAGCCCATTTTTTCCACGTTGCTGGGGACTGGAGCCTACGTCAATTCATCTGGTTTACATTGATTTCACAATTTGGCTTTGATTTTGCAATGCGGAGCTGCATTTCACAACCACAAGGGTTTGGAGGCGGATTTTGATGGGTCCTGTAAAACGGCAATGTAGAAAACCTCTAATAAGAGAGGAGAACCTTAGTCTCTGCACAGAGATGTAGGTAGTTGCATGAGAATCATAGAATCATAGAGTTGGAAAGGACCTTAAGATCATCCAGTTCCAATATTACTGAGCTGCATGTATGATATGTCTTATTGGAGATTCAAATACACTGTGGCTGTTCCTTAAGTGACTTCTGGCTTCTTGCTTTTTTCTTTTAGGAATATCTTGGTGGATAAGCCCAATGATCAATCCTCAAGATGGTCTTCAGAAAGCAATTACCCTCCCCAGGTAAGCATCTGAATCTCTGCAACTCTGTAGTCATTGTACAGCTTGATCTAGACTGGAATTCTCATTAGGCTGCTCCTATTTATATTGACAGCCTTTAGGGGCTACCTTCTCTCTCTCAAATACAGGTTGTGGCTACATGAAGTATTTACATTTCCAGCTATTTATTTGGGATCTTTCACCAAATACTTGGGTTTTGGGGGGGACGTTTCATGTTTCATCCTTGACAATAGCAGTCATGCTGGAAATCGTCTACCTTATGGTTGGATTAAGCTGCTAATGAGGCGTGTGGGTCCCCCTTTGTCAGTGCTGCTGGAAGCTGCTGGAGATTCCTGGCCTTCAGTCCTGAATCTAAAGAGCTTGTGTTTGTTTCTCCTAATAGCACATTTAGAAATGTAGACTCTGTTTAAAGAGATTTGAATGTTGCCTCTTCTGTTCATTGAAGTAAGATTTGTATTGATTTTTAGCCTCTAATTTGCTTTGCCGCTATTAATTAGATTATCCAGAAAAAATGATTATCCTTTTACTTATTTTTTTTCCTCCAGTAGATGTGTTATCATTCTCTTTATACTAGTCCTGTACTTTATTCCTCTGGTGCTGTTTGGGAATCCCAGACTGGATTGGGTTGGAAGGGACCTTAAAGCTCACTCAGTTCCATCCCCCTGCCATGGACAGGGACACCTTCCGCTGGAGCAGCTTGCTGCAAGCCTCGTCCAGCCTGGCCTTGAATGCTGCTTATTGTAGATACTTATGTTTGAAACACTGATGCAAAGTATTTATCCCTCTCATGCAAAGTTCTTTTGCTTAACTGCTTACTTAATCCACGTATTCCTCGTGAGTTAAGTCTCACAGAGTATCTGTGTAGGTAAATCTTACTGCTTTGTTTTGAAAGTGTATTAAGAATCTATAGTCTGGACTGGTGGCTTCCTTACAGCAGCAGCTCGTGTCATCCAGCCGCAAAGCTTTTGTCTTGATGTTCATGATGAGGTTTCTATACTGTTGTGTCTCTAAAAGTGAGGTTTTCTTAGGAGGAGATGGAAAACTCCCCTATTGGTTCCATTTACATGTTTCATAAACCTACTTGTGGAGGCTTAATTTTGATCCTCTGTGCATCTACTGCTCTTTTAATTTGATTTATATATATATTTTTTGATAAACAGCATAGGAATTTAATCCATAACCTTGAGCAGTTTTGGCCTATCTAGGAACTATTGACTGGAGTGTAATAGACATTGAGCATATACTGTATCCCAGTCTGTGCCATCCTTTACTCCTTTCGTGCAGGAAGCACATGTTTTCCTTAGGGCTTTCTTGTTCACAAAGCAAGGTTGGCTTGTGGCACAGCTTTTGAGCGGGTTCTTCATCTGAGGTGCTTTTAGTTGTGGCTCAAAGTTGCTCTTTGATTTTTCTAAGCCATCCTGAATATTTTGTGCTTTTAAAAACCTGATTCTAGCATGGGAATTCATCTCTTGTAACTGGGTGCTTTAGAATATTCCCAGTCTATGCTTAAAGCTCACAAGCAGTGATACAAGTTACAGTCAGACATGTAGATGAAGCAGAGAGCGATTAGAGTGGTGGACTCCTGTACAAACCACGTGAGCTTGTTAGAGATGTCTTCCAACAGGTTTCACAGAATCATAGAATGGGTTGGAAAGGACCTTAAGATCATCCAGTTCCAATCCCCTGCCATGGGTAGGAACACCTCATGCTAGACTGTGTTACCAAAGGCTTTGTCCAGCCTGGCCTTGAACACTGCCAGGGATGGAGCATTTACCACTTCTTTGGGCAGCCTACTGCAGTTCCTGATGAAGAGTCCCTCTTCAGATACTGGAAGGCTGCTCTGAGGTCTCCACGCAGCCTTCTCTTCTCCAGGCTAAACAGCCCCAACTTTCTCAGCCTGTCCCCATACAGGAGGTGCTCCAGCCCCTGATCATCCTTGTGGCCTCCTCTGGACTTGTTCCAACAGCTCCATGTCCTTTTTATGTTGAAGACACCAGAACTGCATACACTGCTTCAAGTGGGGTCTCATGAGAGCAGAGCAGAGTGTATGTGTATTGGTCATAGCCTGAATGAAGATGCTTTTGCATAACTATTGAGTCCAACCCTTGAGAAATGGGCACTGCGCCACATACTGAGCAAGTCATTGAAACCAAGCTTTAGGGTAGAGATGAATTAACATTATCATATATATCTACCTGTGTATCTCAGATCAACCTACATATGTATATGTGTGTATGTGAGGTGTCCAGATTTGAGGTCCTTTCATCAGACTTGCAAAATGTTCCTCTTTGTAATGGTGACTGAGATTTTGCAAGACAAGAGTTGAGTTTTATTAAGTGTTAAAAGACAAGGCCAACAGAAAACCTGCCTGCCTGAGTGGAAAATGCTGAATTCCTCCTGCCTCAGCCTCTGTCTCCAGCAGTGAGAATATGAAGTGCTGTGTCGTTGCTCATGAATTCAGCAAACCCAGTCCTGAGCACTGAGTGTGATGGTGTATTTGCAGTGTCTCCAATGTGTACTTCAGCTCATTCTTGTGCTTCTAACCTGAGAGTTTAATTATTCATGTAAAGCATTTCTTTATAGTGTAAATTTCTCTGTTGAAAAGTTAACTGGAAAGAGGGATCAGGGAGTTGCAGTTTATAGAGTGTGGTGTGCAGAGAATGCAGTTGTTTTTAATGTGTACAGAGTTCCAAACTGTGTTGCCTCACAGTTCACAAAAGAACTTCGGATTTGGGTGCATTTTGCTCAAAGCAGCGAGTGTTTGCACCTTGACCATTGAAAAACTGCCACATTTTAATGTAGGTTAAACTTTATGCAGGTTTTCTGCTTCCTCATTCTTGCAGATGCTGATGTACTTAAAGTGGATTCTTAGCTTGGGAATCTTCAGTTGAAATAGTGGTGATTGAATTGTAATTGAACTGCTGAGTGCGCCCTCAGCAAGTTTGCTGATGACACCGAGCTGTGTGGTTCGGTTGATCCGCTGGAGGGAAGGAATGCCATCCAGAGGGACCTCGACACGCTTGTGAGGTGGGCTGATGCCAACCTCATGAGGTTTAACTATGCCAAGTGCAAGGTCCTACACCTGGGTCGGAGCAATCCCAGGCACAACTACAGGTTGGGCAGAGAAGAGATTCAGAGCAGCCCAAGGAGAAGGACTTGGGGGTGTTGGTCGATGAGAAAATGAACATGAGCCGGCTTCAGTGTGCGCTCGCAGCCCAGAAAGCAACCGTATCCTGGGCTGCATCAAAAGGAGCGTGACCAGCTGGTAGAAGGAGGTGATCCTGACACTTTACTCTGCTTTTGTGAGACCTCACCTGGAGCATTGTGTGCACTTCTGGTGTCCTCAACATAAAAAGGACATGGAACTGTTGGAACAAGTCCAGAGGAGGCCACAAGGATGATCAGGGGCTGGAGCACCTCCCGTATGAAGACAGGCTGAGGAAGTTGGGGCTGTTCAGCCTGGAGAAGAGAAGGCTGCGTGGAGACCTCAGAGCAGCTTCCAGTGTCTGAAGGGGGCCTATAGGGATGCTGGGGAGGGACTCTTCATTAGGGACTGTAGTGACAGGACAAGGGGTGATGGGTTAAAACTTAAACAGGGGAAGTTTAGATTGGCTGGAAGGAGGAAGTTCTTTCCTGTGACGGTGGTGAGGCCCTGGAATGGGTTGCCCAGGGAGGTTGTGAATGCTCCATCCCTGGCAGTGTTCAAGGCCAGGTTGTTTGAGGCCTTGGGTGAGATGGTTTAGTGTGATGTATCCCTGCCCATGGCAGGGGGGTTGGAAGTGGATGATCTTAAGGTCCTTTCCAACCCTAACTATTCTATGATTCTATGTAAGTGTGGTTGAGAAGTTGGGAATTGAGCTGCTTTGTTAGAGGTTGGCTACATCCAGAGAACTGATCTGTGCACGTAACTTTTACTCCCCAGAATAAACATGTTTTTTTCTATGGGACATGGAAGTTCAAAGTGTTTTATGGTTTGGGTGTTGGCATCAGAACTGTTCACTTTTGTGGTGACACAAAACAAGTGGGTGGCTTTAACAGTCCAGGACAGGAAGTGAACTAAAACTTGGGCTAATAAAGTGCTCCTTGTTCCCAGCTGTGTTGGCTGACCTGTGGGCTAAGACACAACACAAGGACTAGTGTCAGTGGTGCTCACTGGAACCTCTGCAGCCATCGTTGCTGCTGTTTGACCCATCAGTGTCTCACCTTTGTGGAAGGGTTTAGTAATTCCCTGCTGAGGGGTAGGTGCTGTGCTGGCTTAGAGGTAAAAATACTAGGTTGATGAGAAAGTGAACAAGAGCCGGCTTCAGTGTGAGCTCGCAGCCCAGATACAGACCATGTGTTGAGCTGCATCAAAAGGAGTGTGGCCAGCAGGTCATGGAAGTGATCCTGCCCCTCTACTCTGCTCTGTGAAACCCCACTTGTAGCACTGTGTGCAGTTCTGGTGTCCTCAACATAAAGAGGACATGGAACTGTCGGAACAAGTCCAGAGGAGGCCATGAGGATGGTAAGAAGGCTGTGTGGAGACCTCAGAGCAGCTTCCAGTGTCTGAAGGGGGCTACAAGGATGCTGGAAAGGGACTCTTCATCAGGGACTGTAGCAATAGGACAAGGGGTGATGGGTTTGAACTGAAACAGGGGAAGTTCAGGTTAGATAAAAGGAACAAGTTCTTTACTGTGAGAGTGCTGAAGCCCTGGAAGAGGTTGCCCAGGGAAATGGTAAATGCTCCATCCCTGTTGGTGTTCAAGGCCAGGTTGGACAGAGTCTTGGGTGACATGGTTTAGTGTGAGGTGTCCATGCCCATGGTAGGGGGTTGGAACTGAAGGATCTTAAGGTCCTTTCCAACCCATTCTATGGTAAGTGAGTCCCTGAACGTTGATTTATTCCCTTCCTGAGTGAAACCTTCCAGGCACCTTGTCCTTTAGAGCACTCCCTTGCTGGGATGAGCACAAATCAGAAGGACATAGGAAAGAATCTGAGAACGTGTTGAGTAGCTCAACAAAGGCACATGCTTGGCAGTAAATGTGGCAGAGTCCCTATGAAACCCCTTTGAAAAGGGAAAGGAACTGAAAGTGGAAGTCTGGCCACTTGAAATGCTGCCATGTGACTATATTTAGCAAAGGGTTTCCCTAACTTTATGGGTATGGGAGAGTTAAATAATTCCTGTGGCCCTGAAAGCCACCAGTTGGTTATGAATGAGTGCCAGGGATAAGAAAAAGAGATGACAGCTGCTTTTCTGTTTATTAAACTAGATATCTTTCTCCAGTCAAAAATAGAATGACCCAGAAACTATATATTTAATAACAAACCTGTTATGTAGTAACCTATTCAGGCAGAAGAGGGCTGATGGGTCTATTTATAAACTAGTTCTAGGCTTACATAGGAAGTGTGAAGCTGGTAACGCTGCAGACCTGTCATAAATGCTTATCCTGGTGGCTCCAGTGATGGTCTGACTTGGAAGACTGAACACAGAACAGCACTGAACTTCCCTGGGTGGCTTGATTAATACTGTGGTGAACAAAAGGGGCTTCATTACAAAGGCACTGGGTAGGTTTGTGCAGCAGCCCCAGTTATTTTGTTGGTTTGTGGTTTTATCTTTACATTCATTACAAGTTTCACTCCTCCCTAATTAATTATGTGAGCAGAACAGAGAATGAATAGAATTCAGTGTGACTTTAATTGCACTTGCAGCTTGCAAGGTGCAGTTTGAAGTCTGAACCAGTCTGTTTGATGTGGAGATGTAAGTTCTGCCCAGTTGAAGAGCGTATGTCTAAAGTTAGTGGCACTGTTCAAACAACTGGTTTCAGTTCTGCATCTGAGAAGACCAGTTTTCCTTCTCTTGATTTACATCCTGCTGTGTCAATGGTATCAGGAACTAATTTAAAGTCCATTAATAAAACTTACACTCTGTTGTGTGATGCAGAAGCACTGCACATGGTTGTCATCAAATAGTAGCACATACTAGAGCTTCATATGAGCTTGCAGTTGGCTGCAGCTGCCTGTGTGACAGGGCTGGATTTGCTTGTTGGTGTTAGGGTGTGTACCCTAACAAGCTGTTAAGGTGCCATACATGACTTGCTCTGCTCTTTGGGCACCTTCACTTCCCAATGTGTTTAATCATAAAGCAGAAGTTTTACTCTCCTAATGTTTTGTAGCATCTTTGTAAGTGTTGTAATTTGAGGCTGAGGTTCTAGTGCAGTTACTCCCATTCGTGTCTGTGCCAGGCTTCTAATGAGCAAACACTTCAGCTGATAAGTCTGGGTTTTTAGAATGCTTCATGACTACTGGGCAATGAAACATACTGATGTTGCTTATAGAAATAGGATGGAAGAGTGTCAAATAGCTTGGGATATGTCTGAAATATCTAGACTTGTTCTCTCCAGGTTGAATAAATCACTTGATTTTATGTACACTGGTATCACATCTTTCAGAGCTATAGAGAATAGTCTGACACATGTAAAAGCCTGGTAGCAGTCCAGAAATCTCCACGCAGCCAGCTGTTTGCAGCTCTTGAGGCAATATATAGCACAGAATGACAGACTGGTTTGTATTGGAAGGGACCTTAAAGCTCACCCAGTTCCAACCCCTGCCACGGGCAGGGACCCCTTCCACTAGAGCAGCTTGCTCCAAGCCCCTGTGTCCAACCTGGCCTTGAACACTGCCAGGGATGGGGCAGCCACAGCTTCTCTGGGCACCCTGGGCCAGCGCCTCAGCACCCTCACAGGGAAGAGCTTCTGCCTAAGAGCTCATCTCAGTCTCCCCTCTGGCAGGTTAAAGCCATTCCCCTTGGCCTGTCCCTACAGGCCCTTGTCCCAAGCCCCTCTCCAGCTTTCCTGCAGCCCCTTTAGGCACTGGAGCTGCTCTCAGGTCTCCCCTTCAGGAGCCTTCTCTTCTCCAGGCTGACCCAGCCCAGCTCTCTCAGCCTGGCTCCAGAGCAGAGCTGCTCCAGCCCTCGCAGCATCTCTGTGGCCTCCTCTGCACTCGCTCCAACAGCTCCACGTCCCTCTTGTGCTGCTGCCCCAGAGCTGGATCAGGACTGCAGGGGGGTTCTCCCCAGAGTGCAGCAGAGGGGCAGGATCCCCTCCTTGAGCTGCTGCTCACGCTCTGTGCGTTCAGCTTGATGGAGCAGTTTAGGACAAGCAGATTGATGCCCATGGCACTTTTTGCTAGTTTCTTCTCAGGAACCACAGAAAGCATCTGCGTGCATGCAGATCCCCTAGTTAATGTAGATAAAAGACTGAAAATCCCATATCATGTCTGGTTTGGCAGTGCTGCTGCTTGGAGGAAAGGGCCACCAGCAGTGCCTGCAGTGAGAGGTGTCCTGCCAGGCTTGATCTGCTTGTGCTGTGCCCTTATCACAGGGTTTTGTAACAAAATCCAGCAGGATGAGTAACTGTGATTCTGCACTTGGCCTCCTTTCTCTGTTGTGTCCTTTCTCAGAAGTCAGGCAAGAGAATTAAACACACTGTTTGCAGGTGTAAAACTCGATGTATTCTGCAAACCAGGCTGTCTCCAGGCTCCTTCCAAGACCTGGTTTGTAGGGGGAAGTTAAATAAACCTGATGCTTGGTGCTTCCTGATGAATGGTGCAGGTGCTTCTCTACGCAGCCTTTTCCAGTGGAACAGAGCTTTTCTTCCATCAGTGCTGGTGAAGCTGATAGCTGGGACCTGAAATTATCTGACTTTTTATGCACTGGGGGGCGGTGGACATTTGGTTAAGGGGGGAGTAAATGTTCACAAGGGAGAACATCATCATAGAATCCCAGACTAGTTTGGGTTGGAAGGGGCTTTAAAGATCCAGCTCCGTGCCACGGGCAGGAACGCCTTCCACTAGAGCAGGTTGCTCCAAGCCCTGTCCAACCTGGCCTTGAACACTGCCAAGGATGGGGCAGCCACAGCTTCTCTGGGCAACTTCTTCCTTACAGTAAAGAACTTCTTCCAGGCATCATTCCATGTTTAAAGCCCCTTTCTTGTCTGTTAAGTGCTTGGGTATATTTGCTATGGTTAATGAGCAGTTAGTTCCTACACTGGCCCCACATCAAGCTTGGTCTGTGTTCAGTGGTTAAATAGTGTCAGCCCAGAGAGGAAAAAGTAATTTGATGTTCTCTTAGCATGTGGAACATACTGTATTTATCTAATTGTGTATTCAGTTTAGGTTTCATTTCAGGCTGGAGTGGGCGTTTGAATCATCACTCTGTGTAGTTTGATCCTATTTGCCAGATTTCAGGAAGTCTTGCATCCAACTTGAAGGAATGTATGTAAGCCCTGAATAGAAATGCTATTTTGTAGGTATAGGTGGTTCAAGCAAATCTTTTTCCTGGATAAACTGCTTTTAAAGTAATATTCCTAAAAAACCCCTTTGTTTAATCCCAAGAGAAAATATGATAATGGGGAGGAATCACCATAGCTTTCATTCTGTGGCTCTGGAAACTGAGTGTTTGAAGGCTGTAATGCTTCTCCCTCAGTGTGTTTTGCAGCCTTGATTTTACTATTAAAACTCACTGTTCTCTCTTCCACAGTATTTGATTCTGAAACTTGAAAGACCTGCCATAGTCCAGAGCATCACATTTGGCAAATACGAGAAAACACATGTCTGCAATTTAAAGAAGTTTAAAGTCTTTGGTGGAATGAATGAGGAAAATATGACAGATCTCTTATCCAGGTAAGATGGGATTTTGTCAGCTGTGAGAATCATAAAGGCTGGACCAAAAGGTTTTTTCCCTTCACACCTCAGCAGACACATAGCTCACTGTGTAATAGAGCTGTGGTTGTGATCCTGCAGTTAGTTATCCTTGTGTTTGTGGGCAGGTCAGAGAGCAGCAATCCCCAACACTTGCTCCAGGAAGCCTTCCTTATCCTGCTCTAACCACAGAGGATTTGTGGAGAGCAAATTCTTGGAGACTTGGAAGAGCTGAGAGCAGGGTATGATGTTGCTGGGTTGTGATTCTTTTCTTCTGTGTGCTTCAGGCACAAGAGAAATGATTCCTCAGGTGTGGGTAACATAAAGTAGCTTTTAAAAGCCTGAAAAACCTGCTTTATGTCAAGAACCTCATTGCAGCTGAGAAGGCCTGAACTAGTCAGCTGCTCTGCCTGTCTTCTAATGGGTAAATACATTAAATAAGCAGATGGAAAAGCTGTGTTTTCCTGTGTTTAGTTTGATAGTTGCACTGATAGGGGCCTAAAGAAAATACCTTTTGGTTATTCCAGATATCCAGAGCTGAGGAGTTGCTAATGTAAATTGACAAAGGCCTTCTTGAGGAGAAGAAAGAGGAATCATATTGAAATGTCTTAGGAATACAGGAGAAATGAATAGCAAGAAGCAGTCTATTTTTGGAGGCCAACAGAAGGAAAGTCCACCTCCAGGGAACGTATGGGTGTACATCATCTGTAGTCGAGTGGAATAGCCATGGAAAAATATAAGTTCTTTGTTGCAGGAGTCCTTCAAGACCACATGGAAACTAGGCACAACCCTTCCCACCCTTTTGCCCTCTTTAGATAGCCCAGCCTTGCAGTTTGACTTCATTGCTGCTAGAATAGTGATTTTTGAGACCTAATGTCATGTCACTTGTACTGAAGTTGAATACAAATCCATATTTTGGGTCCTGCACTTGTATCTTCAGTAAAAATCCTTAAGCTTTTTGATAAATGACACTAAATATTTGATGTTTTTAGAAAGTAGAGCCCATCAATGGCTCACAAAGTGCTTTGGTGGTGTGGTAACAGAGAGCTGATCCATCCCCCCTCTTGACAACGCGGTTGAGGCAGATCCCTTCCTGAAGTCATAGGGTGACAGGCACAGATGAGCAGCATTGATCCCGTGTCAGTGCCCTCCTAAACCCACTCCCCAGTGCTCAGGGGATAGAAGGAGGTGGGGATGTCCCAGGGAGATAAAAGGTGGTGGAGAGGAATCCAGGCATTGGTCCAGCATGCGTACTTATGATTCATAGTAACGTGAACCATTTCAGGCATGACCTAGATTGCATTTATTAGCTAGTTCTAAAATACAAGGTAAGATTTAGTAACCTTATTTATTTTTTCCCACAGTGGCTTAAAGAATGATTATAACAAAGAAACATTCACCTTGAAGCATAAAATTGATGAACAGATGTTCCCCTGTCGATTCATTAAGATAGGTAAATGCATTTTTTCAGCATTCTGAGTAGAAATTAATCTCTTCTTATACTTGTGCCGATCTTGGCACTTGTGACTTCATTGTACTCAGGCAAAGTATCCACAAGAGCTGTTCCATTTCATGATCTTTTAGGCTGGTTAGATGGGAACCTAGTGAAGTCCTGTTAATAAGAAATAACAGCTTCATAATATAAATCCTGGGGAATGAAAGTGAAATAGTCATTGTCAGAAACAGAGCTGTTGAGTCAACTAGTTGCTGGAGAAGCTGTTTCTGTCCTACTAGAAATTGCTATCTAGAGCTTTAAATAAATCATAAAATACTGGTACAAGTGTCAGCATTGGCAGCCCTAGAGCTTGAAACAGGTTGAACTCTTACTCTCAGACACTCTCACAACACATAGAGCAACAGCAAAAGCCTTCCTTGTTCTCTTCCTAGTACTCTAATAGTTATGTCTAATCTGTGACTAAAGATGACATCCAGGGGCAAAGAAATGCTGTCTAGTGTTGTTTCTCTGGTGGAGCTGATGAAGGCAGGTTGCTGTGACCTGTGATGGGAGCGGGTAGGGAGCTCTCTTCTTTGCTTCACGCAGTCCAGCGAGAACAAGAGCCTTACAGTGACCATCAGTGGATTTAATCCAAGAATTTAGAGCATTTCAGCTGTTTGTAGCTTCATAAATTTATCTTGCCCTTCCTATACTGAGATAGTAAAATAATGACTGGTTTTAAACTGGCTGTTTAAGGTTAAAAATGGAGCAAAGAGGTAGCTGCTGAAAAATGAGATGTGTTGACTCATTTAGATGAATTGAGGAATGTTCTGAAGCTTTGAGTAATTCCTTTGCCAAGACTTGGATGATAGTGGCTGTGCAGGGGCTCCCCTCAGAGCCCTCTGCTCGTGTCTCTGCATGGCTTTCTGCATCTCCTCTCATGTTTGCTCGTGGAATTGAAAGCTTCAGGCTGGGAATCAAGCAGTTGTGTTTGTGCCATGGACAGTGGTGTTTCCGTTCTTAGAAGAGTAGAGGAATCGGTTGTGCATTGGGCTTGTTTTTGGCTGTTACTTTTGGAAGCATCCGTAACACTTGGCTTTGGGAAACCTCAAGAGGTGCAGAGTAATGGAGTTAAAGGTTGACTGCAACAAGAAAGTTGATTTGTGGAGCTTTCTGCTTTAGGTTTTTAGGAAATGTTATTTTTCGCTGGCTAGAAACCAGCAAGTAGTTACTAGAGGGCTAAAGGGGTGGATGGAAAGATGGAATGATTACGAGCTACTTGTCTGGATGTGTGAATCCTATCCAGCAAAACGGATTGTGATGTTATGAAGTGTTAGCAGCAAGTTGAAACATGCGAGGAAAGTGAATGCTGGTTAATTTCTACTACTAGAGTTTTATTTTCTCTGACGTGACATGAGTAATATTAATAGTTACGTGGCTTGTTCTGTTGGGAAGTGGTTCCACACATAGCAATAGGGATTGAGGCCCGGTTGGACAGGGCTGGGAGCAACCTGCTCTAGTGGAAGGTATCCCTGCTCATGGCAGGGGGTTGGAACTGGATGAGTTTTAAGGTCCCTTCCAATCCAAACCAGTCTGGGATTCTGTTTTATATATATTAACATCATTCTTATATCTGAAGGGGGCTACAAGGATGGTGGAGAGGGACTCTTCATCAGGGACTGTAGTGATAGGACAAGAGGTGATGGGTTCAAACTGAAACAGGGGAAGTTCAGGCTGGAGATAAGGAAGAAGTTCTTTACCGTGAGGGTGGTGAGGCACTGGAATGGGTTGCCCAGAGAAGTTGTGAATGCTCCATCCCTGTTGGTGTTCAAGGCCAGGTTGGACAGAGCCTTGGGTGAAATGGTCTAATGTAAGGTGTCCCTGTCCATGGCAGGGAGTGGAAATGAATGATCTTAAGGTCCTTTCCAACCCAAACCATTCTGTGATTCTATGATGTATATACATAAAACTCAAAAAAGATTTGTATTTAACTGTCACTTGCTTACTAGTTATAATTTGAGATGCCTTCTCCTTTCTAGTTATACCGATAGCCTTGTGTTTCTTGACACTGTCTCCTATGAAGAAATCCCTGTGCTAGGACAGAAATGAGAATCTCTTCCCTAATAAAAGCTTAATAAAGCCTCCAGCTGATGGGTAGTTTGCTCCTGAAGTTCTGAGGGTGTTCTTTGCTGTGACACAACTGCAAACCCAAGTTACAAAATGGTGTTATTTTTCAGAGGCACAGCTTGACTGTGTTTTGGGTTTGTTAGAATTTCCAAGCTCCTAGCCAAAGGAGCTCACAAATGTGCACCACCGTGCTATGTTCCTGGTCATGCTGCCAGGACACAGGAGGCCAAAATCTGCCCTTTTGGACTTGGAGAGACTGACACGGCTGAAGTCGCTGCTATTAGTGAGGTTTGTGTATTTGGGGGAGGCGTTATAGTGAGTTCTGCAGCGACTTCCATCAGGCATTTGCTTTCTCATTCCACAGCTAAGCATACTGTTAATAACACAGTGGTGAGGTTGATGTGGGGGGGTAAGGGAGGAGGAACAAGATGTGAGAAAGCTCAGTGGGGATGTTACTGCTCCCTGTAACTGCCTGAGAGGAGGATGGAGCCAGGAGGGGCTGGGCTCTGCTCCCAAGGAACAAGGGATGGGACAAGAGGAAACGGCCTCAAGCTGCCCCAGGGCAGGTTTAGATGGAGCTGAGGAACAATTCCTGCCCCAGAGGGTGCTCAGGCATTGGAACAGGCTACCCAGGGCAGGGCTGCAGTCACCGTCCCTGCAAGTGTTCACACAGCGTGGAGACGAGGCCTCAGTGCCATGGGGCAGTGGTGGCCTTGGCAGTGCTGGGAACGGTTGGACTGGATGAGCTTAAAGGGCTTTTTCTTTAAAGATGTTTTCCAGCCCAGTTGATTCTACGATTCTATTATTTTATGTGTGAGAGGAGAAAATACTTCCTACTCCTACAAGTTCAATTGCTCTCGTAGTAGAGAAAGTTTGAGATTCAGAGAAAGCAGAAGAAATAACTTCTCACTCTGTCAAGAAAAAACTTAACACTTCTTTGACTTAAATTAGTTCAACTTCAGCTCCTGTTGCTGTGCAGGCTTTTGTCCTCCTTGACAAGGCAGTTGTGCATTTCATGTCACACTTCATCTAAGAACTTAGAAGGGGGAAGAAGATATGTATCCAAACAAAATACTAGAGAATAATCATTTTAATGCCTTTGAGCTTTGTTTTTGCCTCTGCTTGAAAGCACCAAGTGTTGTAAAGGCTGATTTGCCATGAAGGATCTTGAAGAACTGCTGGTGTAATTCTCATGCCAGTTTGTTACTAGCATGGGAGTTACTAACAAGGCTTCAAGATCTTGAAGCTTTGGGGTGATAGAAATGAGCCAGACTTTATTTATGGGTGTTCCCAGTGTTTTTATGCACATAATTTGTTTGTCTGTCTACGGCCTGGAGAGGAGGGACACAGAAATTGCCTTGAGAGAGGTATTTGAAATGTTTCTACTGTGTTTAATGCCTCTGCTACTGTTTTCTCTAGTACATAGACTTGCCATCCTTGCACCCAGGATCTTACATTGCTGTTACCTCCAAACTCTGTGCAGAGATAGCGATGAGATTTGTGTGTCACACTGATAAGTAATGCTTATCACTGTCTGTGTGACTGTTGCTACTTCCTTGCTGCACTTACTGTTTCCCCCTTCCAGGTCAGAGTTAGATGTGCTCTAAAAGGAGATGTGTCAAATGGACACGTGAGAAAAAGGCAGAGGATCCTGGGATCAGGGAGTAGCATCAGAAATGAGGAGATGATGCAGCAAAACACTTGATCTTTCCTAATTGGTATAGAAACCACTTTGCAGTTTCAACCCTTCTGCTCTGTCGCTGTTCTTACTCTTATGGAGTGGTTGTAAAAAGATCAGCTTCAGTTTTCTGTGCTTTACAGCACCGGGGAAGAACTTATTTTGTGTTCCCTGTGTAACTTAAGGACTATTTAAGGTTTTCCTTAAAGTGGGTAATGGCACAACAAAAATCCTGATGTTAAAATCACCGTTTCTGGTGTTTTGTTTCCTTAATGTGAACAGAACTGTTGAAAGTGCTGAGTTAACTGGGGAGAGAAGTGTTAGCAAGTTGATGGCTTTGCATTGGTATTAGTGATAACAGTGGTGCTAGCTGCCCAGGATTCTGGTGCACATCCCCAGGATGTCTTTCATGTCGTGTTTGGTTACCAAGAAGGTGAATTGTAAAGTTTTCCTGGGAGAAGCTCATGTAAGTTCTGTGACAAACTGTTGAAAAGGAATCCCAGACTGGTTTGGGTTGGAAGGGACTTTAAAGCTCACCCAGTTCCAACCCCTGCCACGGGCAGGGACACCTTCCACTGGAGCAGCTTGCTCCAAGCCCCTGTGTCCAACCTGGCCTTGAACACTGCCAGGGATGGGGCAGCCACAGCTTCTCTGGGCACCCTGTGCCAGCGCCTCAGCACCCTCCCAGGGAAGAGCTTCTGCCTAAGAGCTCATCTCAGTCTCCCCTCTGGCAGGTTCAAGCCATTCCCCTTGGCCTCTCCCTACAGGCCTTTGTCCAAAGCCCCTCTCCAGCTTTCTTGTTGGCCCCTTTAGGCACTGGAAGATGGACATTTCTTTGTGTTTTTCTGGAATACAGTGGGAAAGCGGTAATACTTAGCTTTAGTTTTTCACCCAGTAAACTCAGTGTTACGAAATTACCCTCAGGTTCACCATCAGGAAATTGATGGCCTTAGTCCGTTTGAGGTGGTCTGTGGTTTGGTGCAGTGTTTTGGTGCAATGAGCTGATGGATAGACTTTGATTCTTTATATCTGACCAAATACCAACTTTAACTTCAGTTTGGTCTTGGTCTGTGTGTTCAGGGTGAGGACAGATCAAAGGTGTTAACCCTTCCATGTGGTGTTTTGTCAGTCTGCTGCCTTAATAGGTGGAATACCCCAGATTAAGCTGTTTTGTGGTATTAAGGTCCCTTATTGGAGCACTCATCTTGTGCAGGGGACAGAACTAAGCAGGAAAGAGGTTTCTTGGGCAGAGCATCTGCCATATGAACAGCAGATAAGTGACTTCTGGTTGTTCTGACCAGTTCATTTCTCTCCTGGTTCTGCACACATGCATCCACTGGGGATGCTCTGAAAGCAGCTCACTCTATTCTGAACAGCCAAGCAGAAAATGCTTGAACGGGATGATTTGAGAGCTCTAACACATAAAGTGCCTACTTAGGGGTAATAAAATCAGTTAAGAGTCCTATATTCAGAATCTCTTTGGCTCTTTTCTAAGAATCTCTTCCCTCGATGACTGTTCCCAGAAGTTGTCATGAGTCTTTAGCAATAGGGTTGTAGAAAAACCCTTTAAAATAGAGAAAATCATGTGTCTGAACATATGCTTTGTGCCCAGGCACATTGCAGGAAGTCGTAGATGTTGCTTCCTTGAAGTATAAATACTTAAGAACCTTGAAGAGCTGAGGAACAACTTTAAGGGCCATGTTGGGTTTTATTTCCTCAAGGAGTAGGTCAGAAAACCCCTTAATTCACCAAGTCAATCTCCGTGGTATTTTGTGGTGGTTTGAAAGTCACAAGGAATTTCCCTGTTGTAAAAATAGCTTTGGTGGAAGGGAGGAGGTAGTGGATTCCATGCTGTTGCTGGGAACTCCTCATTCGCCTCTAATACTATCTTTTTCCTGTTTATTAGCTCCAGTCAGCTAAAAAGGAAACAGAAGTATCTGAAACGAAAGCACTTGGTTTCGCTGCAGTTTGAAGGAGTTGGAGTTGCTTCAACAAGCAGAATCAAGCCTTAACCTGCAGCTTAATCAATAAATGAGTGCAAGACTGTAGGTGCTCACAACAGAGGGGGGGAGAAGCCTTAGGTGAGAGGCTGCAGCCTCTGTTTCATGGGTCAGTGAATAACGTTTGTTCCAGTATGTAGATAAAACATGAGCCTAAAAGCTGCCCAGATTTAAGCCTTTTTTAAGTAAAAATAGGAGTAGATGTAGTTTCTAAATAGAAAATTGACAGTTTTCCCTCCCTCCCTCCTCCACAACTTGCAGATGTTACTAATTCTGTCCCATTGAAACTACCCAAGCTTCTTGTCTTCACCATTAGGGGAAATAATTGTTGCTGACAAAGGGGGAAATAAATGTACTGTGAGGAGCAAATACTGTCTCTAGTGTGCTTGTGATCCTCATCCATGTCAAAGCTTGTTGCCTCTTTGAGCTGGTTTAAATGATAGGATTTTTGCTCTTTTTGCTTGAAGTGAGCTTCTGCTTTGCAATGATCTGCCGTGTTAATGCTGCTTGGCACAGGTTGCTTGAAATGACAGCTTGAACATGATGTATTTGGTAATTCTCCTCAGCTTGCTTAAAGGAGCTAGAATTTATGTCAAATCAGAAATACTGAGTTTTGTGTGTAACCTGTAAAATCATTCTGTTTGAAATAGTGCTGTGTATATAGCCTATGATGAGATTAACACAGTGGTGCTTTGATGTTTATGCATCCTTTTTTTCTCATTTTCCTCTTTTCTCCAGTTCCACTCTTATCCTGGGGACCTAGCTTCAATTTTAGTATCTGGTATGTTGAACTTAATGGCATTGATGATCCAGATGTGGTCCAGCCGTGCCTCAACTGGTACAGCAAGGTAGGCCTCCATTTTAGATGCCTGTTTGAAGATGTGTGCTCTCAGAATCTTGTGAAACTTCTTTTACTGGGATTGCTTGACCTTTTCATTCCTTGGAATATCAGCTCTTGAAACAGCAAACATGCATCGTTGCAACTCAAACCACATGGCTGAGTTTTTGACTTGGAGTGAATCCTGTATCTGCTTAAACCCAACAAAACACACCCCAAAACCACCACCAAAAATCCCTACACCCCCCCCCCCCCCCCCCCATACACATCACAAGAAAGACGAAAGACTGAGTCAAAGGGGACTATATGGGTAAAACAGCACTTGTATTGGAAGGGAAATGAATGTTAGCAAACCCACATTCCATTTCTCCCTCTTCTTGCCTTTTGATTACTCATTCTTTTACCATACCAGCCCTTCTGTAGAGCTATATGTGAGCCTAGAGCCTCTTGGATCCCATAGGCAGCTTTTGTTACAGGGTAGAAAAATGAGCTTGTTCTAAAGAGAATCACTTAATGTCTTTCCTGTTGCAGCTCCTTGTACTTCCAGTATTTCCCTCTTAGTGTCTTCTTGCTGAGTACCCTGGAACAGAGGGGAGCTGATGCCACTGGCCTGTGGGATGAGCTGATTTATGCCATTTGTCACTTTGATAGACAGAAAGTTCAAAGGGTTCTAAACATGAGTTGTATAAACTGTATGTAACTGAGTACAACAGATGCCTCTCCTGTGGGAGGGAAGTGCACATTGAGAACCAGAATTCATTTTGCTGCTGCTTTTCATGCATAGATTTTTCTGGACCAGTTCAGTGAAATTCATATTGTGTTGCAGAGATTCCCTTCCCCATTAGAGTAATAGTGAGGAGTGGAGCAGCATCTCTCTGCTTCCAGAAAGAAGAACTTAAAAGGGGACAAAGATTGTGCCTTGTAGTACTGGGACTCCCTCACCAGTTATAGTGCTGCCAGTATGTTAAAGAAACCCTGTGGCCTCTGCTGCTCATAACAGCATCACAAGCTGCTTCATGGAGGATCTAAAACCACCACTGACAGCCTCAGTGGATGTTGTAGCTGCTTCATGATTAAAGTGATACTGATGGTCCTTAGTCTTCTGGTTACTGATGTCCAGTTGCTGATGGTTTTCTGTGCTTCTTTCTGCTGCCTCAGCACGTGGTGGTGTCTCTGGCATCTTTACCAGATGCTGCAACCAGGAAGCTCTGATTTTTGCTTTTGTTGCTTTTTGCTCAGAAACCATCTGATGATGATGATATCACCATCTGGTTTGTTCCCTCTTATCCCATGGACTTGACACTTCTTGTGGTCAGCATATATGTAGTGACGACTTCTTCAAGGGGTGCCACCATTGTTCTTCTAAAGCTTTGAGCCCTAAAGCAGCAAGGCAGAGACTTAGTCATGTTGTTTGGGCTCTACTAGAATCGGTTGCCAAGTTTGTGGTGGTGAGAGCATGTCTCACTGGTGTTCTCCTCTCTCACAGCCCTGTTGCTGGATCCATATAGGGAGGATCTGTGTTGACCCATGTTTGGGGAAAGGTTGACCTGTTTCTTCCACTTCTTTGAGCTGGTGTGAATATTTTCTTGTTGGAAGTCTCAAAAGCTTTGAAATCCAGTAATCCTTTGCTGCCTGAGACATCAGACTGGAATAATGTTCTACATGAAGTTGCCTGTCCTTCTTTTGTGTGCTTTCACCAATAGAACACTCCCTTTAAGAAGGGAGTAGAGTTGGGGATAACAGATATGGACTCAAAACAGCAAGCACAGTCCTCATTCTCTAGGGCTCCCCTACTCCACTCCCTCCCTGCTGCTTTCCCCTTGTTGTCCAGCTCAGCCTGCTGCCTCCTGAAGCCTCACCACTCTGCTTTTACTAAGAGTGGATATACTTTAGCAATTAAATGGCAGTTAAGTAATGGCTATAAGTCTGATGCTGAACACTTAAATATTTCTACTAGTTTATTTGACAGTGTTAATATCTTAGGCTCATGTTCTCATTACATTTTTAACCATAGGAATTATTTACAGCTTCAAATCAAAGCTATTATTTGGGTTGTCATCTCTGACAGCGCTTAAAAAAGAGCCTTTTTTATACTTTTTGTACACCTTTTTTGCATTAAAATAAGCTTTTTACATTCAGCTTCTGAAGTATTACTCTGGTGTCACTGAAATAAAAACTTTATTATTGCATTGAGTGGCCAACCTGTATCCAACAGTCATTTTGTGTTTTATAAACCCACCCTGTCAGTCACGAGAGGCTCAGTGGAAATACGCCCAGGTCTGAGTTTTGTCTCGTGTCTAAACTGAAGGAGCTGAAATGCAGAAGCTGGTTATTCCTGGTGTGCAGCAAATCCTTTTTCTTGCTATCCCTTTGAGCAGCAAGGAATCTGTGGTGGTTTTGGCCTGGAATGATGTGAACTTTTGCTTAAAGACAGCATCTAAAGTATCTCTTAAGAAGGAAAAAGAAGTTGTTGTTTTCAAGTTGTGCTGCAAAACTCTACTTTAGCTTTAGTATTCCTTTGTCACAGTCTTGCGTTTTTATCAGTGCATGTCCTTGGCCTTTTTCGTGTGGGCTGGGAGCTGCTTATCTAAAAATGCATGGTTCTGACTGTTTGCAGCTGTGAAATACGGATGGATTAAGACCTAAAAATACAGCACATGGCCGTGTTTCTTTTTAGCTGCTTCAGTGTATGAGGTTCCTACTATTCAGACCACTAATTTTTGGTGCATGTCAGTGTTAGTCCCAGGTTTTCAGGAAGATGGTATTCGTTTAAATACCATAAACTTCACTTGGAGCACTGGGGTCTGCTTAGGAGCAAAATCTTGTCTGTAACTTCATTAGTTTTATAGATGCTTAAAGTTACATTTGCTTTGTATCACGGTAGGTGTGTGTTACAGATGGAATTGGGATTATTTATCTTCATGTCCTGCTTAAACCACGACACTTTAATGCTTTAGCATTTAGGTTGGAGGAGTCTATGTAAAATAAGTGGCTCTGCTCCTTATCAGCTTAAAAATCTGTTACTTATAGTTAGCAGCTTTGAAAACACAGTGGATGTTTGGTGTGTTAAAGCACAAGCTGCCGCTCTTACACAGTTTACTCTCCTCTCACGTTTCTGTGCCTGGATGTTTGACCCAGCGTGGGTTTCTCACCCCTTCCCACAGCTGAGTGGGAAATGGGCAGCTTTGAATCATCCATGGTGTGAAAGCAAAGGCTCTGCTTCAAGATTCGGGGGGGGGGGATATTCGGAAGGTAACGCTTTGGCGTGCACGTCAGTCGGTGCTGCCATCGATCCGAAAGCCGCAGGATTTGAGGGCAGGAGCGCTGGTCATTCCAAGTATTCTTGTTTCTCATGTTTAGCTTTTTCTTCCTTCTGCTTCTCGAAAAGCTGTGACCTACTTTTCCAAATTATTTTGTTATGTAAGAGTCATACAATCAACTTACGTAACGCTGAGAGCAAAGGCTTTTTCCTGCTCTGCACTTTGTGTAGGCCTCGAGCAGCGGATGGTGGGGAGGTGATGGGCACTGTGGCTCTTGCCTCCTCTGCTTATTAAATGGGATGGTACCACCTTGTACAACTTGTGTACGCTGTTGGCAAGTAAATCCCTGCACAGCTTATGTCTTTCACACAGCGTTCCTCCAAGCTTGTGAACAATTTATGAGCAGTATCTATAAGCTTCTGTCTCCAGGCATGTTCCCAGGTACAGTGGTGGTAAAAGACAAATCTACATGTCTCATAGGTTTTCTTGTGTTCCAGTAGTACCGTGAACAGGAAGCCATTCGCCTTTGCCTAAAGCATTTTCGTCAGCACAACTACACGGAGGCTTTCGAGTCGCTGCAGAAGAAAACCAAGATTGCTCTGGAGCACCCCATGTTGACAGACCTGCATGACAAGCTGGTGTTGAAGGGAGACTTCGATGCTTGTGAAGAGCTCATAGAGAAAGCTGTGAATGGTAAGAGAACCAGAGGGGTCTGGTATGTTAAGTAGAAACAGCATTGAGGTGTTACTGCTTTGAATGTTGATGGACTTAGTACTTCCACTGCATGTCTTAATGAAGAAGGGATGGACTTCTTCACCGTTAGGAGTAAGACGCGCTCTTAGGAGGGTGTCTCTTTCCATGACAGGGGAGTTGGAACCTGATGCTCTCTAAGATTCCTTCCAACCCAAACCATTCTATGATTAGTAGTAATACAGTCCATGTGCTGTTTCATATCTAGCATGGTGTACTGTCAGCTTTTGGACTAGTATGTGTATGAGGAAGGCTAAAAACTCAGCGGATGAAATGTCTCATCGCTGCTACTTTTGGAGTCTCTTTCCCCCAGAGACGATAACGTGGTGCACTTGAGGTGAAGATGAACTCTACGTGTAAGTGTATGGCAAGCTGAAGGAGGGCCTAACTGTCACAAAAGCCACTGGAGTGGTGAGCAGGGAAACCTAAGACTTCTCAGTAGTGATTTGTGCCATGGTTTCTGGTTAGAGCTTATAACCTAGTTGGTGTTTCAGCAGTTTTCAGTGTTTGGATGAGGGTGCTGCCTTTGCTTATGTGGAAAACAGTCCTTGGAGAACGGTGTAGTTGTTACAGTGACTGGAGGCAGAGCTTGTTTTCCCTGTAGAACAGGAGCTTGGCAGAAGGTTTCATTGGAACTTCTATTAATTTTTTACTTGGAAGCTTTCAGCTCGGAAGCACCATGTGTAAACACCTCTCAGCTCCTAAAATGGGGGATAGGGACTTTCTGTTGATGGAATGGGATACAGAAAGAGGTGGGCTGTTGCACTGAAGTACGTCTCCCAAGAGCTGTGCAGCGGTTTTGGATCACGGTCTGATAAAACAGAGGTGCTCTTGGCTGTGGTGCAGTTGCTCTTTGTGTCATAAGGAGAGAGCTTTGTGTCTGATGCCACTGGAGTTAGGGGCTTAGTGGACCAATTCCTTGGATGCTGGCACCAGAGGTGTTTCTTCTAATTCTGGGCTAATCAGTCTTTTTGTGATACCTTTTGGGTAAATGCCAGCATAGGTGCTCGACTCCATCAGTGTGGTTTGTGTCGCTGAAGTTGGAAGTGATTCTTGAGATCTGATAGAAAAGACAGCCTGACAGTCAAGGTTTGTCTGCTATGAAAATCCACCATCTTCTTCTGAATAAGCTCCATCCCTGGCAGTGTTCAAGGCCAGGTTGGACACAGGGGCTTGGAGCAAGCTGCTCTAGTGGAAGGTGTCCCTGCCTGTGGCAGGGGTTGGAACTGGTTGAGTGTTAAGGTCCCTTCTAACACAAAGCATTCTATGATACTGTGAATAAGCTATTCCACTAAGCACAGTGTCATGGAGTTTACTGCAACAGGTCATCAAAACCTGCAGTAAATGGCTTTCTACAGCTTTTGGCCCAAGGTTTCTTGACTCTGTCGATAAAACAGCTGGGCTCTGCCTTACCCTGAGCTCCCTGAGCAGCTACAAGCACTGAGACAGAGAGCTGCCAGCGTTCATCCTGCCCTCCTGAGACAGCGCAGCGGTGTCGGCTGGGCCAGCAGCGTGAGCAGCTTCCTGCAGTGCAGCAGCTTTTTGGAGCTGGCAGCCTCCTCCCGAGGCTTGCAGGATGAGAGGGAAGCAGGGAGGGCTGGCTGGCTGCTCCTGCCGCTGCAGTGGTTCCCAAAGACAGGACTGCCTGGGGGGAGCTGATGAGCCCACCAACATGAGGCAGGATCTGCTGCGAGCCAGAGCGGTACCGTGTGCTGATGGAGATGATTTTATCAATGTCTGCTGCCTTGGCTGGGGCTTAATCTTGTCAGTGCCTAGAGGCTGTCCTCTTTCTACTTCAGTGCAGGCTGTAGTAGGAACTATTTCTTGAATGAAATGGCACTAGACGCATGCTGAAAAGGTTCCCTTAAAAATGGACTTTTATTTTCTTGGCCACTAATGAAACGGATGTTTGTGCCCTGATTTTTTTTGTGCTGTTACATGTTGATTTCTTTGATTACTCAATATTTATCATGTGGCATTTCTTCTATCCAGCAGTTTTCCCCTAGGATTTGAGGTGTTTGTTTCCCATTCTGTGTTGGGAGCGGGATTGCTGTCTGCAGTACTCAGCTTTTCCATGTGTGGAAGTGCTGGCAAAGGACTTGGCAGGTAGAAAACCTCCTGCAGTGGAAGGTGTCCCTGCCTGTGACAGGGGTTTGGAACGGAGTGAGCTTTAAAGTCCCATCCAACCCAACCCAGTCTGGGATTCCATGATTTCTAATAACAGACTGTGGATAACATAGCAGGAGAGTCTTTGGGTAGCATCGTTCTGTGTTGTCACTGCTTCTGAGGGACAGAATAATATGCATGAGGATGTTTATATGGCTTCCTTTTAACGTGGCACTGGGCTGGATGAAGTTTAAAGGTCAGTGCATGCATCTGCTGTTGCTCTGTTGACCATCCTGAATGGGTCTTGCTTGTGGTTGACTATATGAATCTTCCCCCAGCCTCCTGCAAGTCTTTATACTGACTTCAGCTCTTGTACCCATTTATAGCTCTGTCGCCTCCCAGCAGCCTTTGGAGGGAAGTGCCATCTATCCTGTGATACCAGAGCTGTATCCAGTGTTTGCTTGAAGTTGACACAACTGCAGGTTTTACTAACTGGGTCGATCCTGCCCTTCCTCAGGACAGTGTGTCCCCTGTCCCCTCGCTTGCTGGCACCAGTGCTTTTGCTGCCACGTGGCAAACCAGGTCAAGGAGCTGAGCTATGGTGGGGGGGGGGGAGAAGACAGGACAAACCTCTTCTGATGGCCACAAACCCCCTCAAACTGCAGCTGGAATAGATTGAAGCTGTACAAGGGGACAGTTGAATGCAGCTGGTATTAACAGCTGGATCCTTCTGCTTGGTAGGGTGGGAATAGATGTTTTCAGCCTTCAACATAGCTTCTACAGTATTGCTACCATCTGCTCCCTGTGGTCCTCCATGGTTAGCTGTCCTTCCGCAGTTCTGCATCTCTCCAGCTCAGCACCCAGCATTTTACTGTTTTGCTGTCTTAGCATCTCCATAGCTTGCTGCTTAGTCTCTAAGGTGTGGGTGTTCTTACGACTGAGCTCCTCTCTGATGTGCTGTTTTCCCAGATTAACTTTAATCCTGTGTATGGTCCGTGTGGTGTAGTTGAAGTGTGGAGTTAATTGCAGTCTACATATCCTTGTAGGATCCCTGCAAGCATTCAGCGAGGGAACTGTTCTGTTACACACAGGACATGAGCATGTGAACTTGTGGCCTCTTGCTGATTGCTGATCGCCGTTTTCATTGCCTTAAAGAAGCAGAAGTGCAGTGAGATTGACAGGGATCCTGCGCACGCCCTTCAGCCTAACCCATCTCTCGAGGCTGATGTTTGCAGCCGTGGGTACCTACGAAGCGCAGTGCACTGCGTCTCTTCACAGGCTATTTCCGTAGGCTGAGTCATGGAGAAAAAGAGTAGGTGGTCAAGAATTAGTGCTAAGCAGAGAGCTAGCTCCTGTTCTTTTGCATTGCTAATGCTGAACGCTGTCTTCCACCTCGCAGCACCAGATGATTCCTTTTGAGCGCTCGGTGGCAGGCAGCCACGCTCTTCCCGCAGATTCTTTTGACTTGTGCATTACACTTAGAAAATGGGCAAATGGAAACTCTGGCAGCTGCCTGACTTCGTCTCAGAAAAAGAGAAAGGTTCCCTAAATCTCAGCTGCTTTGCAGACTCGCTTCAAGTGCTGCACATTTGGATTCATTCCTATAGCTTTCAGATGGCCTTATATTATTGAAGGGGGGGAATCTGCTTAATATTCCTCCAAGAGGGGATGTGGAGTGCAAATGATTCAGTTGAGCTGCTTGCAGCTCCTGTAGACATTGAAAGCTGCTTGAAATGGGTTGACGTTTTATATTAGTATTCTAGGGACTGAGGTGTTGCTTCTGGCAGGTCTCCTGTCACTGTGTGATATATGTTTATCTGTTGACACATCAGCCCCATATGACAAGTAAGAGGTGGTGATGCACAGCCTGTGGGCCCAAGTGTCTCCAAAAACTCAGGATGCACACACAGGAACAGTTGTATTCTCCTGGAATAGCTCTAGAGAGACACACATGCCTTCCAGTATCTGAAGTGGGCTACAAGGATGCAGGAGAGGGACTCTTTATCAGGGACTGTAGCGATAGGACAAGGGGTAACGGGTTAAAACTGAAACAGGGGAAGTTGAGGTTAGATATAAGGCAGAAGCTCTTCCCTGTGAGGTGCTGAGGCGCTGGCACAGGGTGTCCAGAGAAGCTGTGGCTGCCCCATCCCTGGCAGTGTTCAAGGCCAGGTTGGATGGGGCTTGGAGCAACCTGGTCTATTGTGAGGTGTCCCTGCCCATGGCAGGGGGTTGGAAATGGATGATCTTAACGTCCTTTTCAACCCAAACCATTCTGTGATTCTCTATATAAAATAAGCTATATATATATGCCTTAATTGTACTATTAAATATGGTTGGATTCAGTTCTGAGAAGGTGTGGATGCTGGCTTGTTGCTTAGTAGTACTGGAATATATGAAAGGGAGAAGCTTTGCTGGAGACCTAGAGGCCTTGCTAGCGGACCTGAAACCAAGTAGATGGCAGAGTTTGTGTTGAAGCAGCGTGTCTTGTGGTTTATTGAGAACAACCCTGATTTCTGTTAAGCAGAAAGTGCATGAGAATACTACAGCTTTGAGGCTGGAAAACCTGTGTGTATTTTCCTTGTTGCTCCCACGCCTAGAGGAATCATTGAGTGATGGCTGGGGTTTTATCTGGTGTCAGGTTTGTTTTCTGCTTCAGCTTTTCTTCAGAGGGAGTTTGGTGACTGCAGAAACCCTCAATCTCTTGGGGGTTTTGGGTGCTTTTCTTTGATTCTTGGAATGTCTCAAACCCCAACACCCAGAACTTAAAGGCTACGTGACCACTCGAAAGTGTTTGCAGCCACTGGCAGGGAATAGATTTTAGGAATCCTATGTAGAGATGTGTGTTGTCTAAAAAGAAACAATCCAGCTTTTACTTGTTCCTGAATGGCTTCAACAAAATACATTTGTCTGTGTTGTTTATCCTTATCCTTTCTGGCTAACCTGTAATTCACAGACAAAATCAAGGCTTTGGTTATCAGGGAGGTGGAATTTACTGAGCTTTAACCACTGTGAACTCGATGTTGTTACGTCCAAAATGCGTCACAACTCGCTGTGAATGGCTTGAAAATAGCACAGAAGAAAAGTGCTGGTTTTGGCTGGGATTTTGGAGAGTAAACACAGGACAATGAAATGAGAACAAAGGAAAAAGCTTCCTTTAAAAGCTTCCACTTGACACTTAGTTTTCTGTAGGAGCCTTGAGATTTAAGGTGATTCATTGGGAAGAGCTTGACAGACATGAGCAGGCCCAGATCATCGGTGCCTCCAGTGCAGAAGCTTTGGAGACCTTTTGGTCTGCAGTGTTATCCTGGCAGGAAGCATAAGCAGTGCGCTAGGATAGGGCTGCCATCGGATGCAGGATCCACCTAGAAATCTGCCTTCATTTCCCTGGTGGTGATTCAGCTTCCAAAACAAGCTGCTGCTGGTTTGCAGTGCGAGTAGAATGGATGTGGAACTGCTCCCAGCAGAAAGAAACATTTCTGGGAAGCAAGCTGGAGTATTTCCAAACCAATGTCCCATGGAAGACAAGAAGCATTATTAAGAGGCTTGAAAGCACAGTAGGGGAGAAGTGTCATATCTTGACAAGTGCAGCCTGTGGGTGTGGAGCATGAGGGAGAGGTTAAATCACCCTTTCACATGGTCTGGGGTGTAATTCATCCCGTTGAGCTATTTATGTCCGCTTATCTGTTAGCTGCCATAGGGATAAATAGTTTTACATTCTATCTTGAAGACAACTGATAGCCAAAAAGCTGGATTTCTGTCTAGGTTTGTGGCTAGAAAAACCTGCCTGAGTCATAGAATCATAGGATGATTGGGGTTGAAGGGACCTCAAAGCTCCTCCAGCTCCAACCCCTGCCACGGGCAGGGACACCTTCCACTAGAGCAGCTTGCTCCAAGCCCCTGTGTCCAACCTGGCCTTGAACACTGCCAGGGATGGGGCAGCCACAGCTTCTCTGGGCACCCTGTGCCAGCGCCTCAGCACCCTCACAGGGAAGAGCTTCTGCCTTATATCCAGCCTGAACTTTCTCAAGTATGGGATTTCTTACAGCTCATGCGTTTGTTCTGTTGGAAGTTGGCTTTTCTGCATGAGAATTCACAAACTCTCAAGCTTAAAACATCTCACGGCTGATCCCAACTTGGCAGATGCTGAAGAAGTGGGAGTTTGGAACCCTCCTCTTGCCACCAAAATAAACCGCTTTCCTACCTACGTTGAACAGACCTTTGGCTTCCCTCAGTTACCTTGTGCTGGGAGAAAGATGCTTTTGGCTCTAAGGCAGGTGAAAGAAAAACTCTGCTTTCATAGAGCATTGACTGTGCAAAGCTGAGTTTAGCAAAGTTGAAAGCACTTTCGTGTTTTAACACCAAATTCAGCACCTTTCAGGAGCTCTTGAGTACCCTTCTTTCCCTACTAGAAGCCCTCTAAATAGAGGATTCATCTTCTCCCAGCAAACACTTGCTGGCTTGGGTTTTAATGAAAACCTGGATTTCGGTTATGGCAAACTCCAGGATGCCAAGAAAACGCTTTAAAACATGATCTGAACATTGTGTTTGTGCTTAACAAAGATTTTTTTTTACCTTTTGGTAAATAAATAGGGATGTGTGCAGGGAGGATTATTTCTCTTCTGTCTGTCTGCCTCCCAAGAGATTTTCTATAAATAAATAGAGGCATTGGTAATCTGTTAAATCGTTCCCTCAAAGCCACACTGACTGGGGTCGGAAGAACTACAAAGTGTTAGATGCAGTTTGGTAACTTTTGTTTTCCTTTCTCTGCTCTGGAATGCAAAACTGATTCCTGAGCATGTTTGCAGGGTAGTGTTCTGCCAAAGAGCGTGACTGGTGTGGTCTTGCTCTGGTCTTGGACAATGGCCTGTTGGGTGTTAGGTGATTAAGGACTCCTCATTGCATCCTCCATCAGAGCAGTGTATGTGCAATGTACTGTTTCAATACAGAACAGCGCGAGTCTTATCACTTGAGTCCTCAATCTGCCTGTGGTAGTTGAATTGGGTGTCTGAACTCCCTTTTCTTTTCCAGGTAATGCATAAATGTGGAATGAATGTTTATTATAGGCTCATGGAATGGTTTAGGTGGAAGGGACCTTAAAGCTCATCCAGTTCCAACCCCTGCCACGGGCAGGGACCCCTTCCACTAGAGCAGCTTGCTCCAAGCCCCTGTGTCCAACCTGGCCTTGAACACTGCCAGGGATGGGGCAGCCACAGCTTCTCTGGGCACCCTGTGCCAGCGCCTCAGCACCCTCATAGGGAAGAGCTTCTGCCTTACATATAACCTAAATGTCCCCTCTTTCAGCTTAAAACCATGAAGAACTTGTGTCTGGAGGTTGTGGGGTGGTTTTGGATGGGATATAGCCAGTGGGCAAGAGGCTGTCCATTAGTGGTCTAATCATTTGTTGTGCGTGCAGGAACATAAGGTAGGTTTAGCGGAGACATTTGGAGAACACTAGCAACAAGTTCCCCAAATGAAGCCCTTCCCAGACTGAAGAGCAGCCCCAGAGAACGTGGGTGCTATGAATCTTCTTCTCAAAGGGTTAACGTGGATGTGATATTCTGGTAACATGTAACCAGAATTAGGAGCTGCCTCTTGACACTGCGGAGATGAAATGTGGTAGATGTACAGAAGAAGAGAGACAAGAGAGCTTGATAGTGCTGGAGTTACTGCTTTGTAGAGATGCTGTACTTGGTGTATCTGGCCACTGACCTAATGCATCTTCTGCTTCTCCTCTTGCTTAAGTCTGAAGGGAATTTAAACTGTTGGGTTGTTTCTCATCCAGGACTTGGCTGTCCCATATCGTAGTGTTTAAACAATCTGCTTTGCTGCCCTTTTCTTAGCTGAAGCTCCAGAGATGCTGCCTGACCTAGTTTTAACTTAATATGTAGTCAAATGGTTGTGTTTTACATGCACTGGCAACTTTCCTTGTGCTTAAATAGAGGGGAGGGATTCTCTTCTTCATTAAATACACTGCACAGGAGATTTATAGACAATTGGCATAACCTGGCAGGCAAAGTGAGGAGTGTTTTTTATTTTAGTGCTTACTACTTAGTTCAGTAACAAGTTTAACAAAGTAACTGATATATAGAGAGAACTTACTTCAAAGGAAGGGTTTGGAGTAGCTTTCTGGCTTCAGTTAGGCTGAAGTTACCTGCATTAGACGTGACTCTGCTATAATGAAAGTATAAATCGTAGAATCACAGAATGGTTTGGGTTGGAAAGGACCTTAAGATCATCCAGATCCAGCCCCCTGCCATGGGCAGGGACACCTCACGCTAGAGCAGGTTGCTCCAAGCCTTGTCCAACCTGGCCTTGAACACTGCCAGGGATGGAGCATTTACCGCTTCTCTGGGCACCCTGTGCCAGGGCCTCAGCACCCTCACAGGGAAGAGCTTCTGCCTAAGAGCTCATCTGAACTTCTCCTGTTCAGTTGACACCCATCACCCCTTGTCCTGTCACTACAGATCCTGATGAAGTGTCCTTCTCCAGCATCCCTGTAGCCTCCTTCAGATACTGGAAGCCTGCTATGAAGTCTCCAAGCAGCTTCTCTTCTCCAGGGTGAACAGCCCCAGCTTTTTCAGCCTGTCTTCATAAGTGTTTCACACAGCATAACTTCTGTTTTGCAGATGGCTTATTCAATCAGTATATCAGCCAACAAGAATACAAACCTCGCTGGGGGCAGATCATACCCAAAAGCACCAAAGGTAAGGACTTCTCTTAAGAAATAACTCATGTGTTGCCAGTTCTGTTGTGTTCCTTTGAGGATGTTGAGTAAGAAAATAAGGCAAGAAAACCTCCTTTAGGACAGGGAATGGTTTCCCCTATGAAAAAAACGTGCATTTCTCTGCAAAGTTGGTGAAATGCAGCTTGGTTTCTGGTTAAATAAGGAACGCCACAGGAGCAGTAGCTGCAAGTTCAAGGGTAGCTAATCAGTTCAGAATCTAATCTCAGAATATAGGTTAAGTATGAGAGTAGTTACCTGTTGTGACTGGATTGAACACGTGGAGTCAACTTGAATGCACAGCAAAGAGTGGTAAATAAATACATTATCTGAAATGGGAGTATTTAAAATCAGATGCATCTTTTGAAGTCTTGGTTTGTCACACAGTAATTCTAAACTGCAGGATCTCTTTCCATTGCGTTTTGCCTTGGAAAAAAAGCCATGGGAAGAGGAGATTCCTAGCGGCAGCCTTGAGTACAGAAATCATTGTCATACAGCACATGTAGGATTCCAGGTGTGACAGTACCCAAACCTCTTGGGAAGGGTTATCTGTGAGTGCCAACAGAATGTGGGTTATCTTTCTAATTTTGCTTCCCATAGGTGACACCTGTCCTGAATGCTTAAGATATCTAAAGTGGTTGGAAAGCTGGATAGTTGGAATTCCCTTCTATGTGAGAATAAGTAATTAGCACAGAGCTGTATCTACACTGTTACCTCTTTGCTGCCATCCGTGGTACCTGCCCTGTCATTCGAGTGTCTGGTCTCACTGCTCAGCCTTCAGGCAGCTCTCAGCTGGGGAGAGATGGAAGGAGAGCAAAAGGTTGTCTGTGTCCTCACAGCTGGAGAGCTGCAAAGGTAGCTCAGACCTCATTTGTGCAGCCCTGCATGCTTCAGGAGCTCTCAGGCTCCTTTCCAGGGCTCTCAGAATCGCAGCAGAGCACTGGATTCACTTTAGCCCTCTGTACTATCAGTCACCAAGTAATTCAGTATAAAGCTCCACAGTTTTATAGTGCCCAGAAGAATTTTCCCTGAGGAAAGTGTTGTGGTAATGCTTAAAGAATGGTGAGCTATTAAGTTATTCAGCTTCCTTCTGTATAGTATTTAGGCCATTTTGAGGTTGTATCTTTGATTTTTAAAGTCTGGTTATGTCAAACTCTCCCTTCCCTCTTTGTTGAAGGTGATGGAGAAGACAGCCGACCAGGGATGAGAGGTGGCCATCAGATGGTTATAGATGTTCAGACAGGTGAGTAGCTGTTACATTGCTTATTTAATCAGCCATTTTGCATATACGTATACAAATATGTTTTTTTTTTTGGAGACTGTTTTAACTTCAAGTTCTGAGGAAAACCAAAAGGACTTTCTAATAACTGGATTAAATCCTCTGCTTTCCCTCTGGAGCGATACTCCAACTGCCATTCCCAGCCCCCTTCTTCTTATTAGTTCTCTGTTACACCTTAGTCATTGTCTTGACTTAACCAAGAAACCAAGAACAATTGGTTTTAATTTTCTGTCCCTCCTACCCTCTTTGAGCAGGAGCTTAAACAAGAGAAGAGGAAATAGGGACAATGATTTCCTTTATCTGCTACGTACCGTGCTCTCTGAAATAATGCTCAACAATAGATCCAATGTGTTGAAACATGCCTTGGAGTGGCTTTTAATTTCCACAGTGTGCAAGAAACACTGTGTTAAATAGAAGTTGTTAAACATTTTTCTGCCAACCTGTTTCCTTATTATGTTAGAGAGTGGTTCAGACTCAGCCTGCAGAGAAAAAAAAGGGGTGTGTGTGTAGCAGCTCCTGGGATTGATGTTCCCCGTAATTCCCTTTATCTTGCTATTATTTAATCAGATTTCTGTGGTATGTCTTAGAATCACAGAATGGTTTGGGTTGGAAAGGACCATAAGTTCACCCAGTTCCAAACCCCTGCCATGAGCAGGGACACCTCACTCTAGACCATGTCACCCAAGGCTCTGTCCAACCTGGCCTTGAACAGTGCCAGGGATGAAGCATTTACCACTTCTCTGGGCACCCTGTGCCAGTGCCTCAGCACCATCACAGTAAAGAACTTCTTCCTTTTATCTAACGTGAACTTCCCCTGTTTCAGTCTGAACCCATCACCCCTTGTCCTATCACTACAGTCCCTGATGAAGAGTCCCTCTCCAGCATCCTTGTAGCCCCCTTCACTCCTTACTAAACTAAGGAATGCATCTGCCTGCGTCTTTGCTAAGTAAATAACTGTATGAGTAAAAGGATTGTTCCCAGGGAAGACGAAACAAGATGAAGGAGTGAGCAGCAGGGAAGGGTATAGGGTGGCACTGAGAGAGTTGGCAACAAATTGCCGTGCCCGTATCTGTTGTGGTCATATGGATGGGGAGTGAAGCATGTGACGGGATCGTCCCTTCAGGAGTAATTTGCTAAGTCACAGTGACCAAGCAGAAAAGCAGCAGTAGCTGCAGTCCTTGGCTTTTACTCAGGGTGTAGTTACTGCTCTGGAGGAAGCACTTGAGGTATTTTGTCTGTGAAAGCAAGCTGGGTTTTTTTCCTCTCCTTTCGGTGGAAGAGGTTTGAGGCTCGTTAGAATAAACGGCTGCTGGAGCAGTGCTGGTGTTTGCCTACAAAGGAAGCTGGGAACGCTCCCTAGTGGCATCAGCGGATACAAGTACCCGGTGTCTGACAAGAAACATTACACTTGTCAAGCTGGAAACGGTATAAACCTCCTGAAAACATGATAGTCATGGTAGTGTGAGGCTTCCTTTCCACTGCTGTTGGTTTAAGTCTTTGTTCAGTGTATTATCTCTGCCTTTGACTCCAGTTTTCACTCTGCTTTAACCAGGCAGTGAAAAGCATCAGTATTTCTTGCACAGAACTGGCTGGAAAGCACCTACAGAAGTAGAGTCACAGTGTGGGAGAACTGGACCTCCTTCTGTTCCACCACTCCTTCCTTCCTGCAGTTCTAGCCAGTGGTCACTGAATGCCTTCAGGAGGGTTCTTTGTGGGTTGTATGGAATTGTTCTTAGTTTTACTTCCAGGGTCACTGAGGCTTGTAAAAGCCTTAATATCAAAAACATTATCACTTTTGCCATTCAGTTTGGCTCATGACAGGCCCGGGGAAGTTCTTGGTGCTGTTCTTAAAAGTGGCTGTTGCTGATCACTTGACTTGAGTTTTCCTTTTGAACATAGGGAGTTTTTAATGAGACTGTGGGAATTCAGCCAGTTGTGTCAGGATGTGTTTTACAGACTGGAGCTGTGAAGCTGGTTAACCTGTAACAGATCTAATGTCAATGGAAAAAAGAGCAGTGGGGTACTTTATCCTTCAAAGGCATCCTCCCTTCCTTACAGAATCACAGGAGGGTTTGGGTTGGAAGGGACCTTAAAGCTCCTCCAGTTCCAACCCCTGCCATGGGCAGGGACCCCTTCCACTAGAGCAGCTTGCTCCAAGCCCCTGTGTCCAACCTGGCCTTGAACACTGCCAGGGATGGGGCAGCCACAGCTTCTCTGGGCACCCTGTGCCAGCGCCTCAGCACCCTCACAGGCCTGTCCCTACAGGCCCTTGTCCAAAGCCCCTCTCCAGCTTTCCTGCAGCCCCTTTAGGCACTGGAGCTGCTCTAAGGTCTCCCCTTCAGGAGCCTTCTCTTCTCCAGAGCAGAGCTGCTTCAGCCCTCGCAGCATCTCCATGGCCTCCTCTGCACTTGCTCCAACAGTTCCACGTCCCTCTTGTGCTGGAGGCCCCAGAGCTGGATCAGGACTGCAGGAGGTGGGGGTGAGGATACTGGCACCCACACACTTGAGTTGTTTCTTTCAACTCAGCAGAAGTCTTTGGTAACTGAACTAGAGAGCACTCCCTTTGTGCTTTGGGTTAGATCCTTCTCAAACATGAATATTTTCTTCTTCAGTTGCTTGGAAATGAAGTGGAACACCAAAATTATATATACAAGGAGGTTCTGAAATTTCATATCACACAGAATAGGTGTTGGAAGCAAATAGTATTCTCTGATGTGAAGACCTGCTGTCGCTATAACTGAACTATGAACAGCTTTGCTTTTTGATTAACCTCAAGGAAATATCAGTCAGTTATTACTGACTACAGGAATCTTAAGTTCATTTTGAACTTATTCAAAATGAAGAAGTTGGGTGATGGTAGTGAGCCTGCTGGATGCACACGTGCCAGTGTTGGGATGAAGGATATGTGTTGGTAGCAGTTGAGATAGATCTGAAGTTACTGATAGTGCGTTAAGTCACTGAGACTGTCTCTAGGTTTCATGTAGAATGTAGCTTAATTGCATCTAAACTGCCTTTTAGTACGTTTTGTCTTCCAGTTAGGGTAGGCTAAAGTAACTACAAGAGCAATTCTGGGATCTCTGCTGCCAAGTAGTAACTTGTGCTGTGGCTCGTTTCCATCCGATGTTCGCACCCTTAATACCTGCTGTGACTGTCTTAAGAATAAGTGTAGTCATCTTTGTGCTTTGGAAAACTCTTAAAGCAGTTTGGAATGAACGTATTGGGCATTTTGGGATACAGAACTGTGAATGCAGCCTGGGATGTTTCTGTATTAAAGAAAAAGGAGGTAATGATACAGTGTCTTCCATGCTTTTAATCGTATTAACACTGAGACTGGAATGATGCTGATGGCATAATTTTGGGATGCTTATACGGAAACGCTTACCAAGAGGCATTCCTGGTTATAGCTGGAAACAACTGTTATGTACTTTAAAGCCTTAGCTGTAAATGAAAACAGAAGCTTTATGTTGTTTCTGCTTTTTTTTCCTGCAAGGTGCATGTCTTTATGTGGTTGTTCATTTGGAAGGCTGGAGAGTTTTCTGCCCTTTTCTACAAGGAAAGGGAAGTATTTTCCTGGTCACAACCCATGGATTAAACCAAAAGTGAAACTGAGCCCAAACCACGCAGGAACACACTGTGTTAAGTGTGCTGTCATGAAAACCTACACTGCTGTTTATGTAGGCTCTGGTGAAGTACTCTGGCAGTAAATGTTGGCTTGTGTGGAATACTGTGCTCCCTGATGCATTAAGGCCTGATGCAGTTTTGGATGAGGATGCAGGCATCTAGTACTGGTACCTTGATTAATACCACTTTGATTGTGCCCTCTCAGACCTTTATAATTGAGATGCGCATGCATTTTGAAATACTAATGCTTATTCTGGAAGGAAGTGGGAATAGGGATTGCCAAACTCCAGTTCTAAGGAATAATGTCAGTACTTTAGAAGAACGTGTGTACTTTGTTGCAGAGATTTGTTTTTACAATTCCATAGTTAAGGTGGAATTGATCTTCTCTGCTCTTATAGGGCAGACATTTCTTCCTTATATCCAGCATGAGCTTGCCCTGTTTCAGTTTGAACCCATAAATACCAGCTAAGCAACCAGGATGATTTTCTGTCTGCATTTCTCTTCTCTTTGGAAAGAGAAACATGTTTTGAAGGAAAACATTGGTGAAATGGTCTGTATTGATGTTACCTCTGTTCACCCACTGATGTGAAGCTCCTCTGTAATTTGGGTGTGCTTCATTTTGCTTTTCCTTTCACAGCAAGGAATTGTGCTTATTTCATTCTATTAGATAAGTGCCAACAGATCTAAGTTGGGAGCAGTGGGAGATGCAGAGCAGTGGGCACAGTGTGCCCACAGTATATGCCAGCAACACTGTGGAAATGACGAGCCTGGCTCATAAGCAGCATGGAAAGATGAAAGCAGCAGACATGAAGGATGCTGTTTTGCCTGAGGAAAAAACACTGTTATCCGTAAGATACTTAAAGACAGGACTTGTGTACAAGATGAAGAGATCTCTGAAACAAAACACAGATGGCTTCTGAGCTCTGAAACACAAACAGCTGCTGAATCCTGGAGGTTACTCAACTTCATGGTGCTCTCACATTTGAGAAGAGTGTATGCCTGAAAAAGCTTATATCCAGCCACCATCTACACTGAACTGTGGTGTGATACCTTAAGAACATTTAAGGTCTGGCTTTATAGTTGTGTTCTAAGTGCTCCTTAGAAAGTGGCTGATGCTGCTTGCAGATAACTGAATCTGTGGTTACTACATGGGGAATTGATGTCCTTCTGCAGAAGGCTTTTGAGATCTCTTACACCTAGATAGTAGGACCCTAGAATCCCACCCTAGAAGCGCACCTTATATTATAGAATCCCAGCCTGGTTTGTGTTGAGATGGATCTTAAAGCTCTTCCAGTTCCAACCGCTTACCACAGGCAGGGACAACTTCTACTAGAGCAGCTTGCTCCAAGCCCTGTCCAACCTGGCCTTGAAGCTTGGGCTGGTAGGAGACTGAAAGTGGGATGCAGTACCTTTGGGCAAGAGTGTGGGCTGGGGCCTGACTGCATGGAAAGAGGATTTGCAAGGTGGGAGATAGCTCCATGTGCGTCAGCAGTGTCCTTGTAGCAATGAAGGCCAACCTCCTCCTAGGCTGCATTAGCAGAAGTACACACAGGAGGTTAAGAAGAGGGATTAATGTGGCTTCAGGTATGAGACAGAGGAACATTGGAGGGCTGTGCTCAGTTTGGGCTCTCTGGTATGATAAGGATGGTGCCAATCTGAAGGTGAGCCCAGTGAAGGGCCACCAGGGTAGGCAGGGGCTGGAGTGGAGATGTAATGTATGGAGTGATGCTTATGGAGGTGGTTTCGTTCAGCCTGTAAAAGAAAAGCCCTCCTCCCTGTACCCATGGGAGGAGCTCAGAGCTCTCTTCAATTAGGTGGTGGGAGAGCATGAAGAAGAATGGCTGGGCTCGTTTTGGGTGGTGAAGAGGGATAGGATGAAAGGCAATGGATTCCTTTCAGCAAGGAAATTCCACTTAGATATTAGGAAGAATAATCAGCCATTGGAGCAGGGATCCAGGGCCTGAAATATCCATCTTTGGAGATACTGAAAGTGTACCTGAATACTTTCCATGCACCCTCGTCTGTTGCTGTAGTTTAGCTCTACTGTGAGGAGTCTGGGAGATGACTGATGGGCTGGGTGACTTGCAGAGGTGTTTTAGTTCCTCATAGGCAAGGTTAAATACGTCAGCAGGATTGGAATGTCTTCACTGTACCTACCTATTAGGAGGTAAAACCCAGGATGCTCAGTCATATCAAGCATCTCTTATCAGCCTGGCTTCAGCAGTTTGCCGTGGAACACCCATTAGGTGAGAGACATCCACTGAACCAGGATCCCACCAAGGATCCCACCATGTGGAAAAGCTGGAGTTAAAAGGAGTCAGAAAAGCTGACTTGGAGAACACGTGAACCTGGACTGAAACTACTCCAGGATTTTGGTATTTAACAGGGATTGGAGAAGGCTGCTTTGTGTTCTCTTCTGAAAAGTAGAAGTGAAGGAGAGGTTGACAGGAAATAGGTTAATTTTGGGGAACATAAGTTCTCTAATAATGTGAGGAATGCTCTTGCACCTTCTGGGCTTCTAGAGTGTAAGGGAAGAAAAGAATTCAGACATTATAGAGACATTTTAGGCTGAGCAAGCAGTTTAGAAATAGTCGCAGAGCATCTTTAATTCAAAGTGTTGAATTTGTATTAAAAAATAAATGTAGAAGAGATAAGGTTAAGATGCTGGAGGAGGAATTGGAGTTCCTAAATGTAGCTGGTAAAAGCTGTGGGTAAATATAACCACTTTCATGTTTTTCTTGTTGCCTTGCAGGTAGGATTGAAAATCTTTCTGCTCTGTCCCTAAAGCAGAATAGAGGTTTGCTTTAATAAAGCAGCATCTATATTGCTGTGTTAAATATTGCTGGGATACAAAGAAAGAATCCTTCCCTCTGCCAGAGCAAGATGCCCTGCTTGCATCTTCAGTTCCCCAGTGCTACTGAAGTAGAAATAGTTCTGTTGATGTGAGACTGTTGTGCTCTCCTCCTGCTGCCTCCTGTGGTCTCTTCCCTGCATCTTCTTTGGGTATTTGCTGGTATGTTGTTTAGGTGACAATGCCTGGGAGCACTGGGCATGCATTGTGAGTCTGTCTCATTGGATCTCTGCATGCAGGGTGAAAACCCTAGAATCATCATAGAATCCCAGACTGGTTTGTGTTGGAAGAGACCTTAAAGCTCCTCCAGTTCCAACCCCTGCCACGGGCATGGACCCCTTCCACTAGAGCAGCTTGCTCCAAGCCCCTGTGTCCAACCTGGCCTTGAACACTGCCAGGGATGGGGCAGCCACAGCTTCTCTGGGCACCCTGGGCCAGCGCCTCAGCACCCTCACAGGGAAGAGCTTCTGCCTAAGAGCTCATCTCAGTCTCCCCTCTGGCAGGTTAAAGCCATTCCCCTTGGCCTGTCCCTATGGGCCCTTGGCCAAAGCCCCTCTCCAGGTTTCTTGTAGGCAAACCCTCCCCGTAAAACCTGAATTAGGTAGAGCACAAGGTGTGATACTGGTTGGGGAGAGAAGTGAAGTTTGACTTCAAAATAAAACAAAAGTCCACCAAACCCCAAAAGTCACCAAACTATTTTCCTTATACCACGGGAGAACAATTGCAAGTTTAAACCCTATGGAAAAAGATTGCCTTGACATGACCAAGAGATGCATTTGTGCACTAAGAAATGTGCATAAAAATATGTATTTTGTTCTGTTACTGCATCATAAGAGTAAAAAATGAATCGTTCTGAGCCTGGGTCCTGATGGAGCTTGTCTTTCATCCGAGCTACAGTTTTCCATCAGGCTGAAACCCAAGTTTGGCATGCTGTTCATGGCACTTGCGTTATCGCTGTTGCTGTCAGGCTCCAGGGATGCTCGCGGTTTACGCTCGCCGCAGGTTTGTGCTCCTCTTTCAGCACTTCCATGCTCTTGAATTCTGTCAGCTCCCTTTAGGTAACTTTCAAAACCGAGAGTTTTCATCAGATTCATTCAGGTTTGCTATTAAATTTCATGTGAGACAACAAAGCCTTCACAGGCAGGCATGAAGTTTGGCAAGGCCCCAGTAGGATACGTCGCTTAGTGCCAAATCCTTTCTTTTCCCCGGCTATCAATGAAGCTGTTGTGGTAATGTGGGTTTTGTGAGCTGTGAGAATTTATGTGCACAAAGGGACCTGCTCTTTGCAGGGAACACTGGGAGCCCTGAGTCCAGGAGGAAGGGTAATTAAAGTTAATGAACCAGGGTAACCTTTCCATGGTGATGACCACTATCCTGATGGTAGGTAAGGGTCAGGGACTATTTCCATTTTATACTCATGCGTCTAACTCTGCTCTTTAATTGGGGTTGGATTAAAAATTGGCTGTTACCTCCCAGATGGAAGTGGTTTGTGGATTTTAAAGGGAGTTTTTCAAAGCTCTACAAGTCTTCAGTGGCTTGTTCTTGGCTTTGTGTTGTGTTTAAAAGCAGTCTAAAAACCAAGTATTTTTAGCATTTGAGACCAGATAGTGATGTTTCTATAACGGGAGCAGCTTTAGTTATCTCTCCATGTCAGGACAGAGACTCCTTCCTCAAATGCTTCCCGTGTTCAGAGGCTTCATCTGGTTTTATCAGTGACTCTGAGAAGCCTTAGAACTTGCTGTGCACAGCACAGTTGTGGGTTTAAGGTGCCAGGCTCTGAAGATAGGCCTGACTTAAGTCTCTTAACTGTTCTGCTTCCTTGCTTTTGTGGCATCAGGTAAGTTACTTTAGGCAAGGCATATGTTTCCCTTGAAGAAGACTTCATAGCTGAAGTGAGTTTTTCTTTCTGAGGGATGGACTAAACAGCAAAGCTTTGCTGCTGCTTTCTCTGAAGCGTTTCTGAGGTACAGATCTTGCACCAAACTGGGTGCAAGCTGAGATATCACTGATAGTCTGCAATGCCCAGCATCCAAAACATTAACTATTGTTCTGTCTTGACTATTAATCAGGAGGCTGTGGGTTTGATTGTAAATGTTGAAGCAGCAAATGACTCCTTGAGAATTGGCTGGCTATCAATCCCCACAACTTCCTTTACTAAACCAAACCAGATTTCTTTGTCCTGGTGACTGGTTCCAGTCAAAGTAAGAATCAGTTTCAGTTTCTCTTCTGTTTGTGTTTAAGCAGGCCAATACCTCCCAAACACCTGGAACATCTTTTAACAATAAAATTAACATGTTCTTTCTTTTTGGTTCCAGAAACGGTCTATTTGTTTGGTGGCTGGGATGGAACTCAGGATCTGGCCGACTTCTGGGCATACAGTGTGAAGGAAAACCAGTGGACCTGTATATCCAGGGATACTGAGAAAGAGGTAAGTTCTGCCAGCATCCTGTTGTTAATATATGAATCATTGCACAGGAAAATGCTGTGCTTGAAGGGCTTGTATTGATGTGTAACACGCAGTGAGAGCCACAGAATACAGACCCTTCAGTTCTGAAGGCTTCTGAAATGCTGACATGGGGAAAATATGAATGTGAAGTGTTGAGATGGCTGGAAGGGGGAAGATTTATTCCTCAAGAGTAGGTTGGTTGGCCGAGAATCACTTCCCTGAGTAGAACATGAGGTAAATAATTTGATAGGGACTGAACACACAGACTTACTGATGAACATTTCAGACCTGATGCTGGTGTTGAGCTTCAGAAACAAATTGCTTATTTCTTTTCTTTAATTTTCTATCAAAAAGGAGGAGAAACGGACAACCAACAGCTGGAAGTCTCTAGAGTAGCTGCCAGAGGCCACACAATCCCAAGAGCTTTTGTGGTATTCATTTGAGCCATTTGCCTTGGCCTGTTTTGCTCAGTGTTTGACGTATGAGCCCTCTGAAATGAACGTAGCTTGGGTTAGAGGAGGTAACAAAAAGAAAGTCCAAGACCTTTTGCTTGTGTAATTCATTTTGCTGTACACAGTGAAATGTTAAAGTTCTGTGTGGTTATTGTGTTTGGGGTTCTTACTTCAAGTGCATAACTTCAGGAACTTCATGCAGCCTCTTCCTGAAGGTATGAAAAGTTGGAGATTCCACCACTCTGTGACAAATTCAGCACCTGATTTCCTCAACTACTTGAAAAGGCTAAAACCACCTTATTTCCCACTTGTATTTTTCCAGTTTCTTGTCACAACTGATTCATGAGCTTCTGTCCCAGGTTAAATAACACTTAAGTATTGCCATTTTTTCCTGGCAAAGGTGGTTAGAGGGTGTAATCAAGTAGGACACATAGCCTGAGCTGAAAAAGCCTCCCAGTAAGGCACTTCCTTTAGCCTTTAAACCTCTCTTGTGTGTCATGCACTTACTGATTCTGACACCCTTTACAAAATGGGCAGTAACAAAACTGAACTGACATTCCAGTTTCCATCATAATAGAGCTGTATGAAGGTAAAATTGTCCTTATATTTCATACCTTTGTAAGTTGGTTTTAGTCTCATTTGAAGTTGTTTTTTTACTCTTAGTCCTTTCATTGTTACTTGTGTCTACTTACAGAATCATAGAATGGTTTGGGTTGGAAGGGACCTTAAAGGTGATCCAGTTTCAACCCCTTCCCACAGGCAGGGGCACCTTGTGTTTAATGATACGATGCTGAAGGTGGTTTTAGTCCACCTGTTGCCCCTGTTTGCCTTGAGCCATGGCTTTTCCTGTTTTCCTCACTGTTTACTCAGCAGGTAACCTATTTTTAAGGTCAGGAGGGGGGTGTGTGTGACAGAGTAGCAAGTGGAAATTGGGACTTACCCCTTTTCTCAACTGTATGGTAAACAGCTAGACCTTCCTTTCATTTGCCTCCCTCTATAAGGAGGTTGGGAAAGCAAAGAGCAGGTATAGAAAAGGTGGCACAACAAATTGTCTCTTCTTTTACTTCTTGCTCTGTAGCCCCTTAATGTGTACATTTGTCTGGCTCAGGACACAGTGAAATAGGGCCTGCTGCCAAAGAGGAGTTACCACGTTTCCTTCCCACACAAACCACTGTGGGTAGTTCTAGTGTTTGAGTTCCTTTCTTGCTGGGATCCTGACACATCCAGTTGGGCTTCCGTAAAGCTTGGGAGACCTGGCTGGGATGCAAGGCATCAGCAGTGCCAGCAGCAGGGTAAGTTTGCTCTTGGAGTTCTTCCTGTCTGGCTTTAGCAGGGTAACACTGGGATGGGAGAAAGGAGTATGTGAAGGAGGGCTGCAGTAGAAGAGTTGGGTTGTTACAATGAAGTGGCAATACAGTGATTTTGGAGGAAAAAAAATACAGGGTGCAACAGAAGGTCAGGAAATGACAATGAGAAATGGGAAGAGCTTTGAGCTGAGAAGAAGCAAGATAGGGGAATAGGAAAAAATAGGGAGAATGAGTTGCATGTATGGGCAGTTTTGAAGTAGGGACCTACTTAGTGGAGAAAAGTGCAAAGAAACATGTGTGGCTTTGGAAATGGAGACCTAGGAGGACTTTCTGCATGGATGTAGTCTGCAGTGGAGTTCACAAGGAGAAGGTGGTGACTGAAGGGGGGACCTGATGGCTCCCTACAACTGCTTGACAGGAGGATGGAGCCAGGAGGGGCTGGGCTCTGCTCCCAAGGAACAAGGGATGGGACAAGAGGAAATGGCCTCAAGCTGCACCAGGGCAGGTTTAGATGGAGCTGAGGAACAATTCCTGTCCCAGAGGGTGCTCAGGCATTGGAACAGGCTGCCCAGGGGCAGGGCTGCAGTCACCGTCCCTGCAAGTGTTCACACACAATGTAGATAGGACCCTCAGTGCCATGGGTTAGTGGTGGCCTTGGCAGTGCTAGGAATGATTGGACTTAATGATCCAAAAGTTCTTATCCAACCTGTTTGATTCTATGGTTCGATGATTCTGTACCTGCAAACCAGCAAGTGTTTTTTTTTCCCCTCTTTCTAAAGAGGTCTGGATAAAACCTGATTTAGAAATGGAAAAGGTCAATCTCAAACGTTGAGAAGTAAATTCAAAAACAAAGACTCCAGATGTTTCTCTAATGGGGACATCGACTGCTCACAAACAATTTGCTAAAAGGAAATATCTGTTGACATGGAATTTGAAAAACTATTCAGAGTGGATTCCAGTAGAACTTAGTCTTGTTTTTGTGTTTTCTTGTGCTGGTTCTGCTTCTGGCTCTTTGGTTCTAATCCATCCGTGGCTGTCGTTCAGTCAGCCACTCAATCAAGCTTGGACAAGAGCAGGATATGGGGAAAGTTGCATTTTACCCAGTGTTTTCATGGAGGTAACACACAGCAACGCTTTTGGGATAAAGGTGCTGGGAGCTTCTGTTGCAATGTGTTATGAGAAGCTTGTGTGACCTTTTCAACAACCTCTGCTGCTGTTGTTGTTCTGAATTTGCCAGCGAGCTGGAGAAATGGCTCTTTGTTTCTTGGAGTTAACAGTTAGACTACCAAAGCTTATTCTCCAGAGCTGTTTTATGTGGGGGACAGATGCTCACAGCACTGTTGGAGTAGCTGATAACTTATGAGTCTTCAGGGGGTGTAGAGGACTTGCTTGCAGTGTTGGGCTGAACCTCCAGTGTACGTACCGTAAAGGACAAAGAGACCTGAATGAGAACTTCCTACCATCCCTTCAGCGTGTGGATCTGGCAAAGCTCCTCCAGTCACGGTCAAATCCTCCTTCTTCTCCAAGCTTGCATCTTTCTAAGGAGCTACACTATGGAGCAGCTCGTGACCTTTCAGCTGGACCCACAACTTCGCCCTCTGTGGGGTTCTCAAATACGCAACAGCCCTGTGGATCAGTTGGCATGAGGCACAGCCAAAGCTTGTTTAGTCTAAGAGCCTTTAAGGGTTTTTACCCTGAAGCAAGTGGAATGTTCTGACAAATGCTGTTGTGTCCCGAATTTGTTAGTGGTGGTAGATGAGGATTTGGGAATAAATAGTTTTTGAGAAAACAAACCTTGTCATTCCTTGGGCATTTTGATCCCAGGCCAGTGGGATAGAGAATAGAGAAACTTAATGTATGTGTTTTGCTGTCTTAACGTTTTGAGTTCCCAAGCAGCAGCGTCCTGTCTTGAAGGCTAATTTAGTGAAATTCATAGAATTGTGGAATGGTTTGGGTTGGGAAGGACCTTAAGATTGTCCAGTTCCAACCCCCTACCATGGGCAGGGAAGCCTCACCCTAGACGATGTAACCCAAGGCCCTGTCCAACCTGGCCTTGACTGCTGCATGGGATGGAGCATTCACCACTTCCCTGGGCAACCCATTCCAGTGCCTCAGGACCCTCACAGTAAAGAACTTCTTCCTTATATCTAACCTGAACTTCCCCTGTTTCAGTTTGAACCCATCACCCCTTGTCCTATCACTACAGTCTCTAATGAAGAGTCTCTCTCCAGCATCTTTGTAGCCCCCTTCAGACGCTGGAAGCTGCTTTGAGCTCTCAACACAGCTTCTCTTCTGCAGGCTGAACAGCCCCAGCTATTCAGTGCAGGAGGACAGTTGGAGTGAACTGTTGGAAAGACTTTGCTTGGTGTAAATTGATAGTTATGTGCGCTTAAAAATAGGATTAAAATGCTGAGAGATGTTGAGGCCTCTGGAGAGTTGATAAATGAGAATAAAGCAACATAGCAGTTGGCATATTTGTATGTCACTGGTATTCCTGTAGCTTGTCTCAGTATCCCCTAGAGACATGAGGAGAGATACAGGATCTCCCTTCAAACAGTGTGTTACTGCACAATTGGTGTCTTCTGGGGTGTGTGTTTGTAACTGTGGTATGTTGACTCATCTTTATTTTGGCTTTTCTAGAGGAAAGCCCTGCTCACAAACCAGCTCCTTAAAGGATATGGAAACTGTGTAAGTGGGTTAGGTTCAGGTGACACTCTTTCTTCAGAACTCTTCAAGTGTTTCATGCCAAAGGTAGAAGTGAAGGTCTTGTCATGGTTAACTGCTTGAGAGGAGAAATCATTCCTCACAATGAAGTGTAGGTCAACAAGTACCTCCTGTTCAGCGGGCTCAAAACGATGCAGAGAATTGGTGTGTTGTAAGGTGGCAGCTTGCTGCCAGCACCGAGTGCTTTTCCAGGGTGCTGAAAGTAAAAGCTGTCAAGTGTAGAAAGATCTCATAAGAGTGAAAGCCAGGGTGAATTTCACCTGCTATTGTGTTTCCAGTTACATTTTCTATGGTGTCTGCATGCATCTCTTTACATTTGTTGACAGGGATGAGTTTACCCAAAGCTTCCAATGTCACATTACCACTTGATGCATCTGTAAGCATTTGTGACACCTGTGACTGAGGTTTCTCTTGGTGTCATGCAGAAATATGTGAGCTTCTCTATGTAAAGCTTTTTCCCTGTGCTGTTTGAAGTGTAGGAACTGAAGTAGTCTCAAAT